TTCCTGAATAATATTTCCTATACTCATAACAGCACTGTACTCTTGGAGCCAAACTTCAGTCACAGCTTTATATGCCATGACAGATCCCAATAGGCTCTGGAACCTTTATAACAAACAAACAAACAAACAGAGTGGTAGACGGTTGGAACAAGTTAGGTGAGAAGGTTGACCAGACCACACACTAGAAGGTGAAGGGACGATGACGTTTCGGTCCGTCCTGGACCATTCTCAACTCGATCTAAGTGAGAAGGTGGTGGAGGCCAAGACCGTCAGTAGTTTCAAAGCGTTATATGACAAAGAGTGCTGGGAAGACGGGACACCACGAGCGTAGCTCTCATCCTGTAACTACACCTAGGTAATTACCAAGCGATTGAGAGGTGGGGACCAAGAACCGTAGTTCACCCTCCAAAAGTACAACTAATATAGGGGAATACTACTTGAGGTTGTACTGTGAGGAACTCTGAGGTCGAACTCGTGGACGGTAGAGCGACGGTCTCGTGTCATGCAGGTCGGCGTTCAATCCCCGACCGTCCACAAGTGGTTGGGCACCATTCCTTCCCCCCGTCCCATCCCTAATCCTTATCCTGACCCGCTCCCATTGTTATATAGTTGTAATGGCTTGGCGCTTTTCCACTAATAATTCCCTCCCCCTCTTACTCTGAGTCCGTCTTTCTAACGCTCCCCAACGTCAAGAAACCGTCGCATTAAAGTGCTCTTAGCCTAACCTACCAGAGGACCCAAAACAGAAAACGGGACAGTACGCCATTTTCGCCAGCTTGGGGATGGACGGGTGACAGTATGGGTCGGGAAGCAAACAGTAATGGAGGCGTGTCGGCAATATATCCTGGGTCAGGCCAGGCAAGGTAAGGTGGGCTACCCACACACACACGCCGCCTCTTATCTTAATCATATACTTTATGTTAAGTTAAAACCATTGGCTGTATAGCAAAGGTTACTTATTAGCATGGGACCTGCGGCCCGCACCAACCAACAGCCGCTTAGATCAAGTTATCACAAGTTAAGCCTGGCCCCAGGCCGGGCTTGGGGAGTAGTAGGGATTAGGGAGTAGTAGGGATTGGGTAGCAGTAGGGGATTGGGGAATAGGACTCCCCCAGAACCCACTCCCAGGTATGAATACAGGCAATTGTGTATTCCAGGGTTATCTTGAGGTTATCTTGAGATGATTTCGGGGCTTTAGTGTCCCTGCGGCCCGGTCCTCGACCAGGCCCCCACCCCCAGGAAGCAGCCCGTGACAGCTGACTAACTCCCAGGTACCTATTTACTGCTAGGTAACAAGGGCATCAGGGTGAAAGAAACTCTGCCCATTGTTTCTCGCCGGCGCCTGGGATCGAACCCGGGACCACAGGATCACGAGTCCAGGAAGTTGAGTAATATTCCAACTAGGGCAGCTAGGCTGAAGGTATCAGGAAAGGTGACCGCTTATGTTCGTAGTAATTAAACTAAAATGGTTTTGTGTTGGGCATAATTAAGAACATAAGAACAAAGGTAACTGCAGAAGGCCTATTGGCCCATACGAGGCAGCTCCTATTGGCCCATACGAGGCAGCTCCTTTCTATAACCACCCAATCCCACTCATATACATGTCCAACCCGCGCTTGAAACAATCGCGATGTTTGTGCGTCCAGTTATCGCACTGTGCCGAGTTGTTATCGTACTAATTCGACTTTTTATTGTACTGCGGCGAGTTATTATCGTACTGCGGCGAGGTGTCATCGTACTGCGGCGAGGTGTCATCGTACTGCGGCGAGTTATTATCGTACTGCGGCGAGGTGTCATCGTACTGGAAGCTGGAATATTAACCTCAACATGTCATGTTTGTGGCTTTGTGGGTCTACGATTCCTGTTCTGTTCCTGACGATATACGGTTCTTGTACGGTTCCTGGCGATGTTGTCCTCGCCGTGCTGAGGGTGTCATGCTCGCCGTGCTGAGGGTGTCATGTTCGCCGTGCTGAGGGTGTCATGCTCGCCGTGCTGAGGGTGTCATGTTCGCCGTGCTGAGGGTGTCATGTTCGCCGTGCTGAGGGTGTCATGTTCGCCGTGCTGAGGGTGTCATGTTCGCCGTGCTGAGGGTGTCATGTTCGCCGTGCTGAGGGTGTCATGCTCGCGGCGCTAAGGGTCTCATGCTCGCCGTGCTGAGGGTGTCATGCTCGCGGCGCTAAGGGTGTCATGCTCGCCGTGCTGAGGGTGTCATGCTCGCGGCGCTAAGGGTATCATGCTCGCCGTACTGAGGGTGTCATGCTCACCGCGCTGAGGGTGTCATGCTCGCGGCGCTGAGGGTGTCATGCTCGCGGCGCTGAGGGTGTCATGCTCGCGGCGCTGAGGGTGTCATGATAGGGCGGGATCTGACCACACGCCCTCGCCCCGCGGGCAGAAAAAGCTGAAGAGTAACGTTGAATCTTCGTTGATTCCATGTGGCATAATTAGCGAAGGTATCCAGTAGCATGTTGTGGCGAAGGTTGAGCGGTCTCCCGTTGTCGGTTGACAATCCTGTAGGCGACACTGACGCCGGGCCGTGATGGGCGTGGTAATTGGCAGAATGGGCGTAATCGGACGACAATTGGCACTTCCCGCCCCCGCCCGCATGGCGACCATGGTGACGGGGCGTCCCAACACCGGAGATACCTTGTTGACGTCGCCCGCGCCAGCTACTCTACAGGGCTGGGGAGTCATTGGGGGTACTGTGGGTCCAGGGTACTCTGGTCTACTCTAGAGGGCTGGGGAGTCATTGGGGGTACTGTGGGTCGAGGGTACTCTGGTCTACTCTAGAGGGCTGGGGAGTCATTGGGGGTACTGTGGGTCGAGGGTACTCTGGTCTACTCTACAGGGCTGGGGAGTCATTGGGGGTACTGTGGGTCGAGGGTACTCTGGTCTACTCTACAGGGCTGGGGAGTCATTGGGGGTACTGTGGGTCGAGGGTACTTTGGTCTACTCTACAGGGCTGGGGAGTCATTGGGGGTACTGTGGGTCCAGGGTACTCTGGTCTACTCTACAGGGCTGGGGAGTCATTGGGGGTACTGTGGGTCGAGGGTACTCTGGTCTACTCTACAGGGCTGGGGAGTCATTGGGGGTACTGTGGGTCCAGGGTACTCTGGTCTACTCTATACGGCTGGGGGGGGGGGCATTGGGGTACTGTGAGGCGAGGGTACTGTGATCTACTCTACAGGGCTGGGAGGCCAATGGGGGTACTGTGGTCTACTCTACAGGGATAGGGGGGGGGCATTGGGGTACTGTGAGGCGAGGGTGCTGTAATTACCTAAGTGTAGTTACAGGATGAGAGCTACGCTCGTGGTGTCCCGTCTTCCTAGCACTCTTTGTCATATAACGCTTTGAAACTACTAGATCACGTGCTGTGATCTACTCTACAGGGCTTGGGGCCAATGGGGGTACTGTGGTCTACTATACAGGGCTAGGGAACCATGGGGCACTGTGAGCTGAGGGTACAATGAAGGGGTACCAAGGCGTACTCTACAGGGCTGGGTACCCATGGAGAGTACTATGAACGGGAAGCTGGTGTTCTGTGCCCACAAAGGGCCCACATAGGACCCACATGCCCACAAAGGGTGGGGGTGGGAACACTACAATAACCACTATGACATGTCACTAGTTAACATCATCAGTATTTTTGAGGAGTAATGAAAAATGATACATTATTTATTCATAAAACTATGGAATAGGTTTCGTTTATACGACTAGAGCTGTATGAAGTATATATATATATAGGATATGTGGTAGTGTCCTGGTTAGTGGTAGTCATCAATAGGTAAATTCTAATGCCCAGTCTGCGCATCTCTTCAATCTATATCATGTTTCCCACACGCCCATTTGTTTGACGCAACATTATCATAAACTGATAATTTTATCACCAGGCTCTTGTACACCGCAGCCTAGTCCACGCAGTTGGTCTTCCGCTTCCACCACTAATGCTCAGCGTTATAACAGTTAAATAAAACGAGTTAAGCATATACTTCTTATTTTAAACCAAGTTATAATGTAATGAACTTATAACTTGAGAACATATTCTCTGTTTAAGACAAAGGTTCACTTGCCAGTTTACAAGTAGACTATTATTGGAATTGGAATATGTCTTGAGACTATCACAAATGTCTAAATACCTATGCAGGTGGCATGAGAATGGGTTTGGTGTCTTGGGGTAATCACTTTACCCAGAGTATGGACTCTTATCTCAATAAACTTATTTCAATTTAAGTTTCAGTTTCCATGGGCAGTATGTGGGGGGGGGGGCTATATCATGGTTAGTTTACAGACAATATAGATAGTATGTGGGAGGGGCTCATTTCGTGAATAATGTTTTGCGTATGTATCGTGTATCATGTATAATTTATGAGGGATGTACACATTTCATAGAAAATTTCATGAATGTTTACATACCAACGATAGTTTGTTGGGGGATGTACTAGTATCAGTGATTCAATTTTATTCGATTTGACTAAAGGAGTTGGCTAGAGTGGGAGGACAGGACAGAGTGAATATTTTTTTAAATGAACAGGGATTTGATAAATGAGAGTTAGAAGGGAGAAGAGGGGAGAAAGAACGACTAATTTGCTTCGGTATCAATGATAATTATTTGTAGGGTATATACACACGAATATATTCGTTTATCCACCCAATACATTCCCCCAGGCAGCCTGGCAGTGTAGCTGCTAGACTACAAAAAATTATTGGAGGTAGTTCTAGTTCTAGAAATGGAGTGATATTATAGTGGGTGTCACATGTGATTAGCTAACAATGACTAGGGGTGAGGTCTGACTCTTGAAGTGGAGACAGATAGAGACTATTGGAGGTTCATCTATTGGTAGTAGGGAGTTTTTGGATGGTATGAAGTCAATATGGTGCCTATTGTCACGTTAGGACACGTAGGTAATGAAACAGATTAGCTTATATTCCATTGGGTTTTGTGTTAGCGTGCCACATGTAATTAGCATGTCTATCTTGTTTTATATCTATGTATATCTCTTCAGATGGAATGGTGAACAACATCACTCTGTGGCAGTTCTTACTGGAGCTCCTGCTAAGCAACCAGTATAAGCATATTATCTCGTGGACCAACTCGGAGGGAGAATTTAAACTGCTGAATGCCGAAGAGGTGGCGAGGCTATGGGGTCTACGGAAGAACAAGACTAATATGAACTATGACAAGCTGTCCCGCGCCCTACGTTATTACTATGATAAGAACATAATCAAGAAGGTCCTTGGACAGAAGTTCGTGTATAGGTGAGTACCAATATATCTGGGAACATTTATTTAGTAGAATATCCCTGGCTACTAATAAGAGGCGAAGGCATTGCTTGAAGCGTTCACAGAAACTCACATTAGAGACTATTAAATATGAAGTCTGAATACAAAAATATAATTTATTTAGATGTGTTAAGGTGAACAAGTCAAATGGAGGAGTTGGTAGATCTGTTATATTAAGGATGTACAGTACAGTACTTATATGCACATAACTCGATAACTCAACTAATGGGGTACAGAATTATTTTTTAATGGAGGGCCCCAAAGCTCTTTTTTTTATTTGTGTGTATGCAATGAATGAAGATTTAATGAAGATAAGTTCCAGCTCTTGCGCTACGGAAAAAAATTAAGATATAAAACCAGAAACCACGTACGAAACGTAGTCAAATCATAACAGAGCGAAAAAGCAATGTAAAGGATTTGGTACTCAAATCGGAAGACCTTACCTTTATAGAACACAATAAAGTAGCCGTCACAACTGCAAGAAAAATTACAGGATGGATAACAAGAACTTTTAAACTAGAGATGCTATACCAATGATGATACTCTTCAAGACGCTAGTGCTCTCTAAGAGTGGAGTACTGCTGCACAATGACAGCACCTTTCAAAGCTGGAGAAATTGCTGACCTGGAGAGCATGCAGAGGTCCTTTACTACTAGAATCCATTCAGTAAAACATCTAAACTACACTGTATTGGGACTGACTAAAGTGCCTAAATCTGTATTCTCTTGAGCGCAGGCAGGAGAGATACATAATAATTTACATGTAGAGGGGCTGGTCCCAAACCAGCACACAGAAATAACACCACATGAGACCAGAAGGCATAGCAGGATGTGCAGAATACCCCCGTTGAAGAGCATAGGTGCAACAGGTACTCTGAGAGAGAATCTATCAACATCAGAGGCCCGAGACTTAAACACGCTTCCACTACACATAAGGGGCATAACTGGCCGACCCCTCACAGTGTTCAAGAGAGAACTCGATAAGAACCTCCAAAGGATACCTGATCAACCAGGCTGTGATTCATCCGTCAGGTTGTGGGCAGCTGCTTCCAACAGCTTGGTTGACCAGTCCAGCAACGAGGAGGCCTGGTCAATGACTGGGCCGCGGGGACACTAAGCCCCGAAAACACCTCAAGGTAACCTCAAGATAACGCAGGTGGGTACAGGAAAAGACGACTGTTGACTTCTATTAGCAGGCAGAGAGAGAATTTCCTTCCCTGGAACACGACCCACCAGTCTTTAAACAACCAGGTACCCAATTACTCCTGGGTGAACAAACGTGTACAGATTGGCGCCTAGTCAATCGTCTCCGGCCAGGATATGAAACCAGACTCAATGAAAAGTTTAAAATGTTGGTTAATGTTCATCTTTAACAAATTCTTTACATCTTCCAGTGAGTTTGCTTCAATGATGTCACTTTATATCATAAGAAAATAAGAATTAAGCAAACTTGCAGAAAGCCCATACGAGGTAGCCCATATAGAACAAATGTATGGAAACAGGATGTTAAGTAACATAATAGAGGCAAACTCACTGGATAGTTTAAAACATTATTTACAGTTTAAATATTAATCATTATTTTAAACTTTTCAGCGAGAAACATTATTTCATGATGTTACATGGTAAATTGCTCCATAAATTTGTAACCCTATTTCCAAAGCATAGTTTGCTTATTTCATTTCTAAATCCTGCATATTCTTTTATATTTTCATGGTAAATTTGCAGATTTATTTCTTGAAAATTCAATACTGTACTGTACTTGAAAATGATGAATGGTGAGCATTTTCTCAAATAGGTATCTTTTAGATTACTGTATATATTTTGTAGGAATACTTATGGCATTGAGTGTTTTGTTGGTAGCGGATGTGATTATGGTAAGTGCTTAGATAAGAGGGGATGATAGTGATAAGAGATAACAGATTGTCAGGAGGCACTTGGTGTTTTCTGCACTCAACAAGCACTCAAATACAGGAAATTTATCTTTATACGTGTTCAAGGTCCATGAATCTAATGAGATATAATAGTCGAGACACTCAGGGGTACTACAGCCCAGTAGGTTCAACTCTTTTTAAGAATGAAATGGCTTAAGCTTAATTCTTGGGTGTTTGAGATATCTTCGTAGTTCCTAATTTTCAATTCCGTTCATATTACAGTAATTACTTGGTGAATTATATGCCACTGGTGAGTATTATACTGTAGTTGGTGAATTATGTTGCTTGTGAGTATTATAGTCAGTCTTTAAAATGAGTTGAGGTAGTTCCAAAGCATTATAGCAGACATTTTTTCTTCATCTTTTTCCATCTTAGTGATTTGTATATTCAGTACTGGGTACTGATCACCAGATAAAAGTGGCATCTGCAAAGTACATCACATTTTGTGTGCTAGTAAACCATCGTTTCACTTAGTGACAAGTCTGGCCCCAAGCCGGGTTTGTGGAGTACGATAGTAGAACTCTGGAGTCCAACTACAGTATAGGTAAAGAAAAATGAGCAATATTGAAGCAAGTGCCATAATCTGAGACACAAAAATGCTCCACGAGATTTACTTGGCTAACTACAGTATTCCTCTTTTTAATTTGGTTAATGAAAGTGAAGAGCAATCTCTTTTTTCAGTTGTTTCTTTTGGACACATTTAGTGTCATGAAACCATGGTTTCATTGACTTCAAGTTTCAATGAAGTCACTGTTTATTAACAGTAGACATGCAACCCACACATTTGAAAATAAAGGAAGTGACATTTCAGTCAGTCCCGGACCATTATGTGGTAACGTTTCAGCCCTTCCTGGACTATTATCAGGTCGTGTGTATTATCAGTATGTCGCTTGTCTGCTGGTGACTGGTTTTAAAAGCTTTTTGTTTATACCAGACCTGAGGCCAGGCTATCATCGTGGCTGATCAGCTATGACAGCCTGGTTGATCAGGCACCTCCTTCAGGAATTTTAGTAGTTCTCTTGAATACTTCTATCTTTGTTCTGGTATTATTTTTGTAATTGTTGATAGGAGGTATTTAAGTTGTGGGGCTCAAGATTTTAATACAGTATTGTACATATATTATCTGCCCTTTGAATATTTTCCATGTATAGATTCTAAACTATCTTTTGTAGCAGCTCCTGTCATAAATTCATCAAGTATTTTTCATAGATTATACAAATTTTTTTTGTCTTCGTTACATGCTGTGAAACACCATCTAGACATAGTGGGGAGTTTCTGCGCTCCATCATCCCAGAGACCAGGTGAATGTAGATTGTGTTAATATATTATCCAACTGAAAGATGTTTTGCATGCCATTTTAATTACATTCCTCACCATATAGTTTTGAGGGTTCCACTGTATTGACACACAATATCCTTTCTTGTACAGTATTTAATTCCACCTGTTAACTACTGTTTGCAAAACTATATTTTGTGTATGATTGTGACACATTTCTGCAGAAACGGTGCCCTCTCATTCTTGTTGTTGCGGGCTTCAAAAAGTCCCTCGTCAATTTTATTGATTCCCTTCATAGTCTTATATGTGATCGTATCATCCTTTTTCTTGCCTTTCAGTCGTGGCATGTATATAGCCTCCTACCTTTAGTATAGAGCTTACAACCTTCCTTGATATTTTAATTTTATTCTTCAGGATTCAGGAGTCATTTAGTGGTGTGCCTTTGAACCTTTTTTATTTTATCTATGTTTTGTGAGATAAGGGCACCAAACAACAGCTGGGTATTCTGACTTTGGACTCATGTGTGTCATGAACAGTTTTAAAGAATTTCTCCATCCTCGTTATTTAGTACTAAATGACAAAAATTCCAGTTCTTGACAATTGGTTATCTTGTGGTTACCATACATTGGTTCCGAGGATCAACGTCTCCAGTCTCTGAGGCCTTGTGGTTGGTGGTCTGGTCAACCAGTTGTTAAACACAGCTGTTTGCAGGCTGACTTATGAATCACAGCCTGGTTGATCAGGTATCCTTCGAAGGTGATTATCAAGTTATCTTTTGAATTCCATGAGAGGTCGATTAGTTATGCCCCTCATGTGTAGAGGGAGTGTTGAAAAGTGTTCGTAATTAAATACAGTAAAGTGACTGGAATGTGAACTGGAGTTAGAACCCAGTTTATTTTTTCTCTACCAAGGACGTAATCAATCTTGGATGTACAGGTCTATGAAAGTGAAGGTTTACATCCATGACCATGTTGAATGTGAGAAAAAACATACATGTAAAGCAAAGAAATCCTAATTCAATTTGTTCTACAATACAATACTGTAGTATAAAATAGCAACTTTGTTATAATGATGAGATTAGATAGATTTTAAATATCATTTTTACATCTGTATTTATTGTACATAAATTCAGTAATATTCTTTATCTAATATTATATTTGTATTTTATGCATGCTTGTGTTTAGGGCAAGGGTTACGGGCAGAGTTAAAGCACAAAATATAAGAAAGATCATTAGCATTGCTGCCCTGATGCAGTGAATATTAGAGCAAGTAATTAATGATCAACACGAACCACCAGGCCCCACTATTAAAGTCAAAAATTAAATTGCAAAACCATTGATCATAATTTGTATAATTCTATTGAAATTAAACTTTTACAATATAATGTACCATACACCATAAACATTTACCATAAATTTTTACCATATATTGTACCATGTTCTATATATGGTTTTCATATACATGAAATTCATATACAATTCATATTGTATATATGAATTTCTGCACTACTTGCACACAATACAGTATTATCGGGAAATTTGATCTGAACTGGGAAACCACCGGGGCTCACCCGGAAATTGACATTTCGTTACATTCAATGCTGGTTTTTTTCTCTTTCCAGATTTGTTTCATTTCCAGAGATTGTTAAGATGGAGAATAAAATTTCTTTCCATGCAAAGATGGAGAGTCTGGGAAACAATAGCAATACTAAAGTTGCAAGCGGAGGTATGTCGCCTTACTCACCCAGTGCTTCAGGGCTACAGCCTGGTGCACCCTCCCCGTCCAGTAGTCACCCGGGAGGGTCTAGGCTACCCTCACCTGCACACGCTTCAACGCACCATTTAACTACACCTCCTCCAGCACATATTGGCTCCTATTCCTCTCTCAGTAAGTAGCTGATTGTCTCTCTTTGTTTTAAACATTAAGATTAACTTTCAATAATTTCCTTCAATTAGTTGTAATAGTAAAAAAAAAATGGGCTTGAAAAAATTGAAAGAAACTAATAATATAAATTGCCAAATTCAGTAACTTTTAGTTCCAATCAGAAAGCAAGATTTTGGCCTATATTTATCATTAAAATGCATATTAAAGGAGTTTCTCTTGGTAGAATTGGTTACAAGTATTCACTAGGTCATAAGCCTGTTTAAATTAATTGATGACTTTGAATTTTTTTGATAATCTATAATGTGTGATCTTTATCTAGTAAATATTAAACTATTAGATGCAAAATATACTGTTGTCTAGTTTATCTTTATGCTGTTCCTCTGTCTTCACATTTAAAACTTATTTCTAGTTTTAATACTGTATCATGTAAATCAGGATAGAGACATCCTCATAAGTTTAAGGTCAAACACTACTATACTGTGTTCAGGTTAAGCACAAGAGTATAACTATATTGATAACTGCCACAATATAGGTCTAAAAAGTGACACAGGGTTCTCAAAAATTAAGGAGGTGCATAGCACCTATTCATGCAAAGGTTGCAAGAAATCTGAAGCATGAATAATTTTTTAGAATCCATTTTCTACAATCTACCAATCAAAATGCATCAAATCAGTCATCTACCCTTGCATCAAACTACTACTGGACAGATTTCTAGGATAAAGTATAACAATTTTGAGATCTTATTTTATAGTTCAGTAAAATAAACTTGACAAAGCCAATGCAAATTCTGTACTGTAATGTTTAAAATTGTATATTTTCAATTATATAATATATTATTTTTTATTCCACAGGTCCTTTGGCACACATGTATTCTGCAGCATTTTCCCATATGGCTGCTGCAAGTTTAGGAGGGTATCTATCTGCTTTAGCACGGAGGCCAGAGCCTGAATCCCCTGCCCCATCACAGCCACCACCTACACTATGGCCACCCGATCTTGGTCAGCGTTCACCCTCTCCACCCTCAGAAGATTCTACAGATGGTTTACCTTCAGCACCGTTACATCTTGTAACTGAAGAAGCCAGTCGCCGTCGTCGAGAAGAAGAAGCTGAGGAGCGCAGGAGAGAGGAGGAACAACGGCGCCCACGTTCACGTTCTCCGCGTTCACAATCCCCATACCAGCATTCACCCGTGCCACCATATCAACAATCGCCTATACCACGTGTGCGCTCACCACTTCGTCAGAGGTCACCATTGCCCTCCCCGCCGCCTCTGTCACCTCTTACGCCACCTCCAGTTCGGGAACATAAACCACCTCTTAGTTCTGCTGCTTCTTCGTCAGCAGCCACTTCTGTTACTGGGACCAATGCTGGACTAGGCAAGGGACGCTCAGGACCAAAACCTAAGCCATCACCCCTATCAATTGAGGCTATAACTGGGTCTCCACCAGTCTTGTCTCCACGTCAATTTTCAGCATCTAGCCTAAATACACCATTAGTAAATCTACCATCACCCCCATACAGTGGTGTTGGCACAAAATCTCCATACCTACCATTACATTTGTGGTCTAGTTTGAGCCCCCTAGCAAGTTTGAGCCCACACTATGGGTCACCACGGAATCACCATCATTTCACCTTTCCTGCCCTGCCCCAATACTCTCACCTGCACCCACCAGTAGTCTCACCACTACTTCCTACCACAACGTTTGATTTCTCTGCACTCACTTCACCTACAGAGAAGACAGCCACTGTCCCAGTTCTCCAATGACCTGAGGCTGTCCGTGCTACTCGCCCCACTCACTCCCCATGCTCTACGCCCCCCACAACCACATCCAATGCCAGCAGTTTACCACCTAGGTAGCCCTGCTGAAATCTAGGGAAACTAGGTTATTGTGGATGAGTTGCTTTTGTGCCTTCAGGATGTGGATCCTGTGGACTCAGTACAAAATAAGACACACGAGTATGGAGTGCAACTTTTTGCTATTGTCAGGTTACAAATAGGGCGGTGGCATGGACAAATGATGCTGGGAAAGCTCATTGGTCTCACTTCTGCCCGTTAACTTCTCCGTTCCTTTTGCCTATCGTGGGCAGGTTTGGTTTGGTGTAAAATCAGTTTTAACTGATAAACTGTAACTCTAGTTAAGTTTCCAATAATTAAATCTAAATGTCTAATGACGTTAGTAAAGTCCATCGTAAAGGGCATTTATATTAGAACAGCTGACAAGGTCACAAAAACCATTGACTGCTGGGCAATTTTTTAGTAAAAAGAAGTATTAAACAATGTTCCCATAATTTTGGAAATTTATTGGACTTAAGTAAATAATTAAACTTTCACAGCAAGTATCGGTTTCTGAATCAAATAAATGGTTCCTTATTAGGGCATAATTATTCGTCCTGTTTATTGAATAATGTTAACTTACAAGACCGTATTCTCTATTTCTGAGTCTCGTGGACATTGTATTTTTTTTAATTTTCCTACGGTGCTTTCAGTGTAGGTTAATCATAATAAGCTTGAGATGACCAGTGCTCTCACACTTTACTTGTTAATTTAAAGAGGCATTATAATTCTCATCGTATAGGTTCAAATGGCTCCCCTCTTTTTTTTTTGTGATAAATATTTGGTGGGCGAGAGGCAGAAATTTTATTGAATATGATAATGAAACAATGAAAACTTCCTCGAATTTTATATTGTAAATTAATCCTTCAACAGAGATGGCTTTTGCATCGTGGTAGTCACCAAGCTGGTCACTCGGTGTATTGAAGTCCTGAACCACTTACTGGTTAACTCCTTAATTGTTGTGACAGCCATTGTTTTTATGAGTAAAATTTATGCCACTTTATGACAATTTTGAACCTACTTTGACATTGTACATATCATCTTGATTTTTAAGTAATAAATATATGTTGACTTTAAATAAATGGGTGCTAATAGGGCATTATTCTCTCCGTCTTACTCTTGATTTCCCATCACTGCCAGTCATTGTTGGTCCCTTATACTCGCTCCACATCTGACATTTCATCTTGATGTGTCTGTATGTCTTTCCTTTCCAAATTTTAAGCTAAGTTTTCTAATTGCTGTACAGTACGTTGATTCCTAGAAATGGAGTTCTTTATTTCTTGCATCAATAAATTTTAGTACTACCTCTTATTAAGTCCCATACTGCACTAGTATTTTAAAAAGCTATGTGAATTTAATAAGCATTTTCTTAAAACTGTGCTTTAAAAGCTTTTATCCTCTGATTAAGATTACAATTTACAGATAATTTGTATATAACTGTGTAACAAAAATCCACTTGAAATATTTAGAACAAGAAAATCAAGTTATATTGAGATACTGTATATTTTATTTTGCCATCAGTTTCTTCTCTCGCTCATCAGTTAGCCAGCTTTCTGTACTCAAAAACTTTTCCCTATTACATATTCTCGTAAGTTGAATTGTCAAAAAGATTCATGTGATTTTCCATGTGTCAACATTTCCTTAAAATGCCTCTTGCATAACATGACAATCAACCTTCGCTGGCAACGTCATACTCATACTTTCATTATTATCACCTAGTGTAATAATCATTAGTTTAAGTATTCATCACATGCGTCTCCATTTTTCTTGTTGCCATGAAGCCTCATGTCTGAACTGAGTTGTTATAAGAAGTCAACTTCACTTTTGTTAATTATTTTGGTAAAATCCTTTATACTCTTTCATCCAATTAATACTGTAAAAACCATAGCCGTTAGTAATAGTGCAGTGTTTTGCAATTATTTGTTGGATATTGAACTGTGATATGCAGAATAATGACGTCATTCATTCAACATTCCTAAAGTGAGACCAGTTAACTGTTGGCCAGTGTTGGAGTGACATGAAGACGCCAAGTATGTTGTTACATGTTAATGACGCGGCCATTCCATTGACCAATAGGTTTTGTCCATTGGTGTGTGTTTTTTATTGTCTTGTATGGAATGAGAATGTTGTGTTCAATTTTGTATGCTTAAAGGAAACCACTGTAAGTCGTTAAAGGATACGAATGCCTTATGTAAATAGTTGTACATGACTTAGAGCTGTTAAGTTAGTGCCTGTATTGTGTTGTCCTGACAGAACCTCCTTGGGGTGAGTTCTTATGAGTTTCTGGGACCCAGTATGACATTTGCTGACATATGAACTCAAAAGTTAACTTACAGATCAGCCATTACTCACCCCAGTATTTCCATTTGTAATGTAACATATTTTGGGTTCGTTAAACTGTGGACCCTCGACATATATTCCACAAGATTACCTCGGGGCTGTTCCAGTGGTCTTATGTACAGTTATAAGTAGAGTTCCTCTAAAAGAATGTTTTAACTTTTTGTACTGTATTCACAACATTGTTTATTGTACAGAAATGTGATAAGCAAGCTGGACCCTGGATCTAGCATTATAACTTATATCCGGAACTGATGTACTTTCTGTTGCAAGAGGCAACTTTATAGCCAACTGCATAATGTAGCCCGTGCCATAAATGCACCAGACACCTCAGGAGATGTACAATTCAGGCTGTTATCCACTTATTATTGTGGCTAAGTTAGGTAACCAGCACAGTTTAAAAGGGAAGATGAACACATTTTGAAACTGTACAGACATGGTTATAAACCAAGTAATTACAGTAATGCAATAGCTTAAGCAACTCTGATGGGTACTTACCTAAGCAATGAATTGATAATAAATCGTTTATTGAAATTACAAATTAAAGTGCCAAATACTATTAAGGTTTGTAATAGGTTAAGCCCAATAGTGTGATGGTATTGCAGCCAGTTACTGTTTCAGGTAGAAGAAGTGTAGTTATGCCAAATAAGCTCGTCATGAAGTCTTCATGAGTTGGATACCTTCATTGTGTGATTTATCCAGAAATTTTTAATAGGGTCATATTTTTATTGTTTCAAAACAAACATTTACTAAATGCAGAAGGAGGTTGCATAGCTCAAGTATTTTTATTGTACTCCCTTTTGTGATATACAAGTGCCATTTGAGAATAAAATGGACCAAATTTTTAGATCTTACTTATCCTTCAGCAGTGATATACAGGTAGTTGGAATAATTTTTATGAAATTCAAAATCGGGTAATTTTAAAAATGTGTACTGTACTATAAAAAAAGTGTTCCAGTAATATACATTTGTAGTACCAGGTACCTATGTAGCAACTAAAGTGATTTTTCTTACCTGAGTAATATTTTTTTCTATAAGACAAAAGAACAGAACCTTATCACTCAATAACCCCTTTGAGAGATAATTTGAATCACCAGGATTGGCAATTATCCATCTGATGTTTAATTAGTTGCCAACTACACAGACCCATCAGATGGCAACACTACTACTACTACTACAGAAGAAGAGACGCAGACAACATTCACTTGATACCTGTTGTCCGGCAGCTACGCTTCTACTGATACCTGCTTGATGGGGTTCTGGGAGTTCTTCTACTCCCCAAGCCCGGCCCGAGGCCAGGCTTGACTTGTAAGCTATTGATGCAGACGCAGATTCAGTTGACTGGTTATTCCATGAGAATTTATACAGAGGTTCTATTGTTTCATTTTAGTATGGTGCGTAGTTGTTTATGTGTAACCAAATTATTTGATTAACCTTTGTTACAGTGTTATCTTGTATTCAGCTTAGTCTGGCTCCTATAAGCAGATAATTATTAAATGAAGGTACCAAGCACGGAAGAAATGGCTCCTAATGCATTTGGCCACTTCTTAGTGGTGCCTTTTTTTAGACTGTCTGTAGCTTAATGCTTAGTGCTAGAATTTATTATATCCATGCACACAAATCATACACATCATAGGACTGAGATTGTTCTTTATAGCTGGATGTTTAGCTTGAAGATGTAATAGTAACTTGTGTTTTGGTTAATTCATAGTTACCCTTACCTTTCCTCCCCCCGCCACTTCCATTAACATAAGTGAATTGGTGAGTACATACCTATCAAATTTTGTCTTAGTTCATTTATTTTTCATGCTTAATTTTGTCCTGTGCTATGTCTTCACTTGGCCTGATGTATGTGGAAAACATCAAACTAACCAACTTAAGCACCAGACCTCACTGGCCGCCTGTTCTACATGTTGTTATGTGAGTGTTCAAGGCCTGGTCGGAGACTATGGGAACATTTGCCCTTCGAATCATATCGGTCAAGGTAAGATGCACGTTTACCCCAGGTCCATGAAGGTTCTGCCCCAGTTTTTGCCACTGTTATTTTAGAACTCTGCTGCTAGAAGCAATGTTTTGCTCTTCAGGACAATGAAAGGCTGCTGTATGTACATTGTGTTTTACTAGGAGTGTTTTACTCTAGATCCTCAAGAAGTTTACCCTGGTGTCTACCTCTAGGATGTCAGGAGTATACTGTTGCAAGTAATATTAGACCCTTCCAGAACAGCAAAAGCTGCTGGATACATGCTCCAGTCTTCCAGATGGCTGTGTGTCACTAAGCACCTGAAATGCAGTGCAAGTATTTGTCTGTAAGGTGCAGTGGATTTTTTTCTGCCGACTGGTGACAATTGCTTAAGAGTTTTTCCCGGCTCACAAGAGTGATGGGATACATATGGCCCTGTGCTGTTGCTGCCCCTAGACCAACAATAACAATAACATGCTCCACTTTATGGGGGGATGAATCTTATGAGTGTTCCTCAAGTGTATGCCATGGTTCTCTGAAACCATCTCATGGGGCATATAAATACAGTACCATATACTGTACATAAAGAAAATATACAAAATAAACAATACAGCATACAATATAAACCTGATCAACCAGACTGTGGTTCATAAGTCAGGCTGTGAGCAGCCACTTATAACAGTCTGGTTGACCAGATCAGTAACCAGATGGCCTGGTCAGAGACTGGGCCATGAGGATGTTGATCCATGGAACTGCAACACAAGGTAAGCTCATATTCTGATGCTGTCACTAATAAGTTTCTTCTTTTACAGCTGCTTATAAGCATGATCTGGCTGAGCCAGCCACAGTTTTTTTTTAAGAGGCCTAAATCTTCTGGATGCTCACCTCTCTGAAGATATTCTCAGCAACGTCCTATACTGACACTTCTCTTTGAAAATTTGCAGTTGTCCACATGTAAGTTTGTCTTCTTAAAGCTCCTCCACAAGTGTGTGGTATTGGGCACGCTTTCATGATGACTCTATTCTCTTCTGGTGGGGATATAGTGCTTGGGGTGCAGCTGCTATGCTTTCTGCAGCTTATATTTACACCCAACTCTGCAGCAGCCAAGGTGGGCTTTACACTTGTGGTTATTATAGCCTCTGCTATCACATGCAATGGGGGATAACCAAAGCAGAATGCTCAAAAACCAAGCTTTCAGTACATGTGAAAAGGACTTTTCTAATGACTACACTTGGTTACTTCTCTGTGGTTGATAATGTTTTTTTCTTCAGCCTAGGATCAGCAATTGATGTTGATTTAGGAGCAATGAGGTGAAATATGAGGAGGTTTGGTTGGAGGGCATTGTTGGTGTGTCAGTGCTGCCTCCTGGTGGTGGAGTAATGACCTAGATAGTTAGCCAGGGTGCATACTGGTATCTGAGTTGCCAAATTACACCTGGAAAGATTTCAACTTTATGTACTACACTTTCATGTCTACATTCTGTGCTGGTTGGTAGGTAATGTTTCCATTCCCTACCAACCTTGCACTAGTATGACCCAGTTTGGACAGTTTGTAAAGTTTCCCAGAGCAGAATACAGTGCAGCATCCAACCTGTACCATACGTAAGTATAATCTTGGCTTAAGGAGTAAATGAATGTATATAATGCTCCAAAAGTTTTTTCAAGTTCTTTATGCACTCAAAGATGGATTTCTGTCAGTCATAACATTATGAGCATTTAAATTAATCCCGTAGATTCTCTTTCATTCACAAAAAGTTACCTTCTAACATCACTGGCATGAATACAGTATACTTTTTCTTTCTTCTCATGTCAACAAACTTTGTATAATATGATTGACAATGACAGTGGTATTCAAACCAGGCATTGAGCTCGCAAATTTCTTTTTATATTGTACGATGAAACCTTGATGCAGTGACTCTCCAGTTGGGAGTTTGGAATTTTTGTTTTGTCGTTTTGGAATTTTTTTATTGGGCATTTTGGAATGTTTTTGTGGGATGTTGTGGAATGTTATTGTTGGGTATTTTGGAAATTTTTATTGGACAAATGGTAACTCTTAATATGCCTCCAGTCACATTTTTAATAATTTTTGTAGGTAGGCACAGCACTGAGCACATTTAAACCAAATTCTATGGATCATTTTAGTTTTGAGATTTCCCAGTTTTGATTCACAAATAGGGTTATGTCATTTTTGTTTGAAAATAAGATTGCAAGGCTAGGGCATGGAAAATATGATAGATGTACTGTACAGTAGTTAAATCTCTTTACAGACAGGTTCTCTTAGTAGTTGTCTTTCATACGACAGGTTGAAATTAACATTTTGCACGATGAAATCGGCCCATAGAGTGTGAGAAATATTAGGGGTATTAATGGTAACACTCTTAATTTAGCTTCAGTCATATTTCTGATGATATTTGTAAATGAACTCAATATTGCAAAAAATAAATGGAGCCTTGGGAAAGCTAATGAGGATATTTAAAACCAAATTCTATGACTTGTTTTTATTTTGAGCTGGCAAGGTTTTCATTCGATCAGGTATATACCTGGAGCATACCTGGAGAGTGTTTTGGGAGTTCTTCTACTCCCCCATGCCCGGCCTGAGGTCAGGCTCCACTTGTGATAATTTCATCCAACAGGCTGTTGCTTGGAGCAACCCACATGTCCACTACAGCCTGGTTGGCCCAGCACTTCTTGCAAAAACCTGTCCAAGTGCCTCTTGAATACCTCCACCTTCGTTCTGGCAATAACCCTGCTTCCTTTTGAAAATTAATTTTGAAGCTGGGGATTTGAGAAATAAGCTAGATGTAGTTAACTTTTTTACAGACATATTCGTTTGGTAATTGTCTATTATATTATAGGTTGAAATGAAAATTTTGCTAAGAGAAAATACCCAATAGAGCATATGAAATGCATCCTGGAGGCATATCCTTTTTCAATGAATCCCACAGTGCAAAGAATTGGGGTTAGCCTCACATAGTTCGCAGAATCGAGGTTGTACTGTACTTTCATGAAGATTTCGTAGTAAAGTTAGCTTCATTCTAGACTCGCAATTGGGGATCCCGGATTTGATTCCCAAGCAGGGCAGAAATGGTTGGGTATGTTTCCTTTCACCTATTGACTCTGTTCACCTAGTAGTACGTGAAACTGGTACATGAACCTTAATTATCAACAAAGAATATTCTCAAGATATAATTGTATTGTACTGTATTATATTATTACATGTCAGCATGCACAATGGTTCCTCTCTCCCATTAATCATCCACTTTTCCAATACCATAAATGCCAAGTAAACATTACAACAGTACAGGAATACAGTATACCTTATTCTCTACCCGTCTCCTCTAAATGTTAGATGATACTTAAGGGTCGTGCAGCATGGTGGTCAATGTCCTTGGTTTACAACCCAGGGACCCAACTTCAGTCCCAAGGCAGGCCAGAAACAGTTAGGCACATTTCCTTTCACCTGATGCACTTTTTCACCTAGCAGTAAAATAGGTACCTGAGAGTTAAGCAATTGTGGTGGGTTGCATCTTGGGGAATATCAACACTAGTAGTTAGACTATGGGGGGGACCTCAATAAGCCTAAATACCTGTACAGGCATCCTGACCCCCCAACACAACGAAAATTATTCTAACTCGCCTTAAGATTTACCTTATTAATTCCTTGCTAGTTTGATCATTATCGTTTGCACATTTGTAATCATTATTGTGCCATATGCTGAGTAGACTAACTCTATACTTCATCTTGTTCACATCTCTGATCATTAAGTTCAAGCATATTCAATTGTGATGTAACATGTATAACAATGCAGAGAAAGTCACAATAATGGGGCTGAAAATGAATGATCCAAAACCCACACCTGTGAAGTGAAAGTGACAACTAATTGGTCAATGCATTTTTTAACAACTTTAAATGCATTTATAAAGACATTTAGGTAATTCTTTGGTAACTATACTGTAAGTGCAAAATTATAGGGAACATATGTGTATACTGTATGATGTATACTGTACACTGTATTTTTAATAGTAATCACAATTATTAAAATAGCTAGGAACTTTACAATTAGAAAACGTTATTAGAAACTTTATATTGCTAGGAAAGTTTATAATAAATTTTACATTGCTAGGAAACTTATGGCATAAGTGTGTATCATAAATTTATAAATCATAAATCATAAATCAATATCTTGAACAATATATGAAGAAAATGTAAATCAGTCACCATATAACTCATAACGTAATACATGAGCATACTGTATAATGAAAAGAATACTGAAACATGAATGAGGAAATCACCAGGGGGAAAATCTGATGCAGGAAATGACCAGTTAAATTTTGTAAAGATATGAGTCTCTTTTCTCAATAAACAGTGAATTGTAACAAAAAACATTAAGTGTGGACACTATTCAACATTAAAATTAACATATTTTGTATAAATGTTCTTTACGAATCCCCAGAAGAGAAGAATATACAATAACAAAGAAATCATAAGCATAATAATGCCAGATCATGTCTCGAGAAGACTTTAAAACATTCTTCATGGGGCAATCCAGCATCTATGGCCAGCAAACCTTCCCAATATGAGGTAAAGTAATTATGAGGATGAAGCATTACGTCAACATGACTATATAACACTTTGGAAGGGATATGAGGACAGGTGGGCTGGAATAATGTTTCGGTCCCCTGTCTAGAGTGAAGAAATGACATCTAGCTGCTAGAACCAGCAGGAATTGAATACCAGTCTCTGCAGAAATGAGACCATCATTCAACCAACCTTAGTTTTAGGGTGATTAAAACCTTTATCCTACCACTAATCTCCTTGCCTAAATATAGCTTCCTTGCTCCACTAAGATGTATACCTGTATATTATTGAGTATTTCCGTAGCGAAATATTATCTGTAAATAAATTCGTACCCAATTTGATACTGTATCCAACTTACCACGACAAAAAATTTAAACATCAACTAGAAGTGACTTTATATCAGATGGCAATTTTGCACAGTTTAGTATACATGACACCATGGTTATTATGTCTTTACACGGCGTGTGGATATGAGTGGTGATGGAGGAAATGACTGCAGCACATATTGCTTGTCCTCCGAGCACAAATGCTGCAGATGCTACCACAGATCCAGCTAACAGGATGCGGTCTGCCAACACATGAGCAAATGCTGCCCTGAAAGGTCACACAGTATAATTAATTGTACTACAGTATACTAAATTTCAATCAAATTTGTCCACCTGTCTGGAAAATGAAAAGCATATTGCTACAAAAAAAATGTACTATTACAGTACTGTACTGTACTGACATTAAACTGAATAAAATCGCATAAAAAGGAAAGCTAAATAATAGATATTAGCAAAAGAATATGAATTTAGCATCATTAACAAAAATGAAATGAGACAAAAGATGAAAAATGTTAATCTAAAGCTGGATTTAAAAGAAAAGATGGATGAAGTAGCTTTCTTAGTTGCCAGGAGAGAGGTTACCGGAAAGCGCAGATTAACTCGTGGAATAGAGTAGTATGATATGAAGCTGTCTTAATGACCTTCTATTGGTTGATGGTCATTAAGCCAAACAAGTGAACATGTTAAACACAAAATCATATCAAGTTAAGGTTTTGAGAGAATTTTAAGACATTTGATATGAAATTCAGTGTGTGAATTGGCTGCTGCAGTTTAAGACAACAAGTCAGATAGGCAAAGAAATTGGCATCAGTCGTAATGTTTTATATACAATAGCTTATTTGATGTGTTGATCACAATCTCTCTTCCTCCTAACTTACTTGTGCTTATCAGGAATAACTGGCAATTCAGTCAGAGATGTGTACAGTTGCTGATAAACTTTCTCATAGTTGAGGTACACCAGGTCTAGCATGGTCATTGACATTTCAAACAGATCTTCTGGCAACACTCGTTTAATGGTTCTGCTCTTGATAGTCTCGGTGAAGTGAGTCCCGTCTCCTTCCCAGAGTCCAACCACTGAGATCACCACTCCAAGGTATGCCAGCATGGAGCTATTCTGGTAACACTGTGCAGGACAAATGTATTTGACATGTAAAGTGGTACAATGATGAAAGTGTGCTCCAGTGCATCACATGTACCAAAACTACCCATAAATAAGACTCATGCATTGCCAAAATGTTGAAACAATTTGGTATCGAGCTGTAATGTCTACAATGTTGTAATGTTTCAACTCTGGCTAATCCAAAATTGAGGAACTTGTTCTCTCTCTCATTATTGGTTTGTCTACTAGCTAAGAACGGCCAAAATCAGAAAACATAATATATACAGTAGTATAATAATAAATAGAACAATAATTTTTAATAATATAGTACTGTATTTATTTATAACAAAATATATACAGTGTATACCTGTTATAACTACCTGAAGGCCACCATCTCTTGTGGTCTCAATGGGGAAAGGAAGCCAGTACTGTAGTTTGTCAAGGGTACCCCCACCTTACGCTCGAAAGTTGTCAGGCGCCCGTACCTTTCGGGCGCCTGACAGCTGGGTAGACAGCGCTTCGGATTCATAGTCCTGAGATTCTGGGTTCGATCCCCGGTGGAGGTGGAGACAAATGGGCAAAATGTTTCTTTCACCCCGATGCCCCTGTTACCTAGCAGTAAATAGGTACCTAGGAGTTAGACAGCTACTACGGGCTGCTTCCTGGGTGTGTGTAACAGAAAGGAGGCCTGGTCGAGGACCAGGCCGCGGGGACGCTAAGCCCCAAAATCATCTCAAGATAACCTCAGGATAAGAAGATAATCATATTGTGAACATACATGGTACAGCATTGCAATTTTTCTGTAAGGCCGCAAATTGCGCACAACATTTCGGGAAATTTCACTTGCACCATGCCATCCGGCAGACAGAATTAAACAAATATGAAAAACACTGCATATTACAATGACTCTTATACTATGTACTTTGAAATGAGCTGGCAAAAAGAGTTGGCCTTAAATAAAGAAAACCATATGCCAGTCATGCTGAAGCTCTTTCAGAGAGCCCTAGCTACAGTGTGGGAGTGTGTGAGACAAAGCTCAAGCATGCAAACTGGAAAACATTAATTAATTTCCTCAACTATGAATTATTAAACATTATTACTCCCCAGACCCCTCTGGGGAGTAATAATGCACCCCTAATAATGCGCAAGCAAATATGATGCTTGCTTGCTTGGGCAAGTACACTACCTCTAGCTTTAATAATCTCCCACCACACATATACTTAAGATTAAATGTTGGATATGATATTAAAGAAAGGATAATTGATTTCATGTTGTTGTTGTTTTAGATTCAGCACTGGAGCAATTTTTAGATACTTGGCACTGGAGCAGGGCTGTAACTTGACTTCATACTTCATAATAAAGGTGATTGCAACATGCTGTTCATGTAGTTTGAGTTGCTCTTAGCCCTGAACAAAGGAAAAGCCACCGTCCTAGTAAGGATGCCATCACTTTTGACATTGTACATTTGCTTCATTTAGTACCAAGAAATTCCTTACTTAAATTGTGTAATGTTTAATAAACAGCATAAAATGTATATTACATAGTTAAAAGACCATTGGAGTCTTTTAGCAGTAGCTATACCAGGGAGGCCTGGTGGAGACCGGGCCACGAAGCTGTTGATCCCCGGAAGCTACACAAGGTAGACACAAGGTAGGGTTTAATGTCTGCACCCATTATTGTATGACTGTACTCTTTCTGCCACTAACCTAACCTAACCTTAAATTAACTAGATGAAGAATACTCTGACATCTTTAACATCTGCATCTACTTCATCAAATTTGTGGATGACACAAAGCTCTACTGGAAGTTTAATATGAGGAGGATATTGCATCCTTGCAAAGTGACCTATATATATTAAATTCACCAATGGTCAAATGACTGGCAGATGCTATTCTCATTCATGGAATGGAAGACCTGATATGTGAGACAAGACAATTACCATATTGTAAACATTACCCTGCTACATTTAAAAAGCAATATATGCGCTGGTATACACCAGCATACCCACGGACTGACACCAGCATACTTGCAGACTGACACCAATATGCCCATGGACTGACACCAACATACCCGAAAGTCCAGTTGCTCCAAAATGCGTCTCTCTGAGCGAATGATGGAGCTGGTGTGAACATTCATTTCAATCCGTTTGAGGAACTTTTGTGCAGAGATGGCAGACAGGTTCTGATATGAAAGATAATATACTCTATTATAACCACATATGATACATCGGATCAATGCATATTTACTTAAGCAGTCCATCATCTTAAAATGACAGTACTTATAGCAACTAATTGGGCATATACTGTATACCAAATAGCAGCCAAATACATGCTATCTTATGGCTAATATAATACATATGCTATTACTAGCCCTATAAATGTTTAAGCTTTGTTTTTAGCTTACTTTCTCAGACTCCTATAAAGTTAATAGTACAAAATGTGAGCTGTTTTGGGGTTAAAAAGTACATACTGGCACGTTCGACCAAATAGTTACCATACGTACTATCATTTTAGGAGAATGGGGTTGCACTTAGAGCAGAATGAAACTTTAGTCTTATCTAGCTTTAATGTGATTTTGAGTGTTGTCTAAATATTCTTTATTAAGCTAATAATCCAGTCAAAACATTTTGTAATAAAGAGTTTGGAGTGTTGTTCTTGAATCTTGTTCAGGAGCCAGTCGGCCGAGCGGACAGCACGGCCGACGACTTGTGATCCTGTGGTCCCGGGTTCGATCCTGGGCGCCGGCGAGAAACAATGAGCAGAGTTTTTTTCACCCTATGCCCCTGTTACCTAGCAGTAAAATAGGTACCTGGATGTTAGTCAGCTGTAACGGGCTGCTTCCTGGGGGTGCAGGCCTGGTCGAGGACCGGGCCGCGGGGACACTAAAGACCCGAAATCATCTCAAGATAACCTCAAGAAGATAACCTAGCTCTCAAAAGTCAAGCTTGGCCCTGGGCTGGGCTTGGGGAGTAGAAGGACTCCCAGAACCCCATCCAGGTACAGTTGGCTTGTACCTTGACTCACAAATGGGGATCCCGGGTTCGATTCCGAGCCAGGACAGAAATGGTTGGCCATTTTATTTAACCTAATTCCCATGTTCATCTAGCAGTCAATAGGTACCCGGGAGTTTGGCAACTTACGGGGTTGCATCCTGGGGAGGGTCAGTAATTCAACCATGAAAGACCTCGATACAAGGCTATTAAGTACTATATATGTACACAGGCATCCTGTTCCTCAAAAAACAAATTAGGTCATATGACTTTTTTAATGCAGAAATTTAAGAAAAATTATTTTTCTTATAAAGCTCATAATTACTTAAGATTTTGCATATGTCTGACCATTATTATCTAATACTGTATTTGTACAGTGGCATATTTATGGTACTATCATGCCCAACAATATTTATTAAAAATAAGTTTGAGACCATTTTTAGAATTTGTCTTCATTCCCCATATTTATTTTATGTATTCCCAGAATTGTAAATGAAAAGAAAGAGTAAAATTAAGGAATATATCTTTGTCCAAGTTTCTTGAAACAATTAATATCAACATAAGAATTTTATTAATTTGAAATTTTGTATATCCAAGAAATGTATATCCCCAAAACAGAAAGTTTTGAAACAATTTTTTTTTACTTTTACATACAGTATAATAAAATAATAATTCAACCATGAAAGCAAGCAAAGAATTGGCAAGCAGCCAATTTATATATAGAGTACATGTTAGGCTTATATTGAGATGTTTCCCCAATATGCAACCCCACAACAAGCTGACTAACTCCCGGGTACCTATTTACATTAAGTGATAGGAAACGCACCCCAAGCATTTCTGTCCTGCCCAGAATTCAAGCCCGAAATTCTCCATTGTGAGTCGAGAACGAACCTGACAGTACAGTACTACCAGGACCTTCAAATATTTATAACGCTTACTTGCAAAGAAGAAAGTTATACAATTAATTTTTTATATTAAAAAAAATTATCACAGTGGTGACTCAGAACTGTAAGAATTGTGCCCTGTAAGACTTAAGACTTTTCAACCCCAGGAGAGTTATTATAGCCACCAACTACAACAGCTTACTGACCACCAGTAGTAAACTGTTTTTTATTTATTTATACTGTATATACAAGAGTTATAGCATTTCGGGGTGTTACTGTCACCGTAGTCCTAAACACAGTCCAGTATTAAAGAAAATTCAGTATAAATACGTTGAGAGATTAGGTACAGCTCTTGGTGTGAATATTCCTTGTCGTTACCCCTTTGTGAGTGACTAGTTTAGAGGCGAGCATGACACAGGTAATAACCCAAAGGGGTGACTGTTCCTTCATTCGCTTCTCCAGCAACCTCAACATGCGATTCCTCTTGTGGCCCTCGGCAGTCATTGATGACAAGCGAGCCAGAAGATTCTCAGTATGACCTAACATGAACCTGCAAAAATGAATAGTGTAAAGAGTTAATTTGAGTTTTTGTTCATTTATTATGCACCTAATACCCAACTTGTAGGCAATAGTGGACCCCATACCCATCCTGTGGACAGTAATGGACCCCATACCCATTCTGTGGGTGGTAGTGGACTCAACTACCCATCCTGTGGGGTGGTAGTGGATCCCATACCCATCATGTGGGTGGGAGTGGATCCCATACCCCATCATGTGGGTGGGAGTGGACCCATACCTACTCTATAAGCATTAATGGAAAAGGTTACAGAGGCACATAATGGGTTCAGGAACTGAACCCCAACATTTACTTGGCTAAGCAAATTACAGTCTTGATAAGCAATGGTTTCAGCAAGAGAAAAATCACACTATTTTGTGAAATGCAATGCTAAAGAGAAAATAAAATGTCATAGTATATATATTTTGCAAAAAAAAAAAAAAAAAAAATCGGTGAAACACAATTAGTGAAGATCTTAAGCAAAAAATCAATGTAAAGTATAATATTAAAAAAAGGCAAATAAGATGTACTGGGATTTATATCTATAAGTATTAATATGAAGACATCTAATGTTATTCATTAGCACTGACAAGCTACCAGCTTCCTGTCCTGGTGATGGGTACTATAACGATGGTGATTCCACTTGGATAATTCAGGTGGAATCCCAGAGTTTTCCACCTGAATTTCCAATTCAGTTAATTCCCAGAGGCCTGGGAATTTGTACATATTGTAATGCAAAACATGATTGAAGAACTGAAACTCACCCCTTAAAAGCATAATTAGACGAGTACGTATGTACACACAATCCTTTATAACCTAACCAGATAAAATACATAAATCCATGTACAGTAATGAGAAAATAACAGAATGCAGAGCATTAAGTGAGCCTTATCTGGACATCATAATTACCATTTAATGTTCTTAATATAAAGCGTTGAGTGGATTAGAAATGAAGCACTCATGGTAAAATAACAGACAAATCGACAAGTTAAAAAATGACAAAGATACACAAATTCACATAAAAAAAGAAATTATCACGAAATGAACCAGACATCGGGCCACACTACTCACCTCCTGAATAGGTCGATGGCAATGTATTTAACTTGAGGTGAGAATTTGAACATGTCTACAGCGAGCCAGATAATATTTACAGCAGACTCCATGTGTACCTCACAGAGGAACGGATGAGCCTGGCGCTTTTCCTGTCGGTTGTCTGCCAGAAGTTCTCGCAGCATCGTGCTCACTTGCTCCTCTGTCCACAAAGATCATTTTTGTATATTAAAATTCCCAATGTCAGGGAGAGGAAGCCTATATTTAGGTTTATCAAGGTTAATTTGAGATGATTTCGGAGCTTAGCATCCCTGTGGCCTGGCCTTTGACTAGGCCTGTTTGTTACACATCCCCAGGAAGCAGCCCGTAACAGCTGTATAACTCCCAGGTACCTATTTACTGCTAGGTGAACAGGGGCATCAGGGTGAAAGAAACTCTGCCCATTTGTTTCCGCCTCCACCAGTTATCGAACCCAGAACCTTAGGACTACAAATCCCGAGCGCTGTCCACTCAACTGTCAGGCCCCCTTATAAGGTTCTCCTAAGCCAGTTACTGACCTTCTCCAAGATGCAACTCACATTTAGTTGCCTAACTCCTGGTTACCTACAGTATTTTTCTAAGTGAGCCGAGGCATCAGGTGAACCCGGGTCCCTTGGTTGTAGTCTAGGGTATAGATTACTGTACTGCAGGTCCCAGAATTGCAGAATTGCAGAATGTTGCCAGGTCTCCAACAGAGAGCTCAGAATATTGTACGACAATAGTGATTACCCATACCATTCTCTTGATTTGCCACAACGTACAAAAGAATATGCTAACCTAACCAGAAATGCATGAACCTAAGCAACCCACCTAATCTAACCTACTAAGGCATAGAAAAATGTGGATATTTATGAGCCAAAACTTTGCATAGTGCTTTGTAATTTTTACATTTAGACCATAACATACAAAATGTGACTAACTAGCACAGTACTCATCTAGTTCACCTAAAAGAAATAACAATGGCATTATATATCAATGAGAAAATCATTTTGAGGCAATAGAGTGACTTGAACTGACATTATAGTGATTGCCAGACATCTGTCTTGACTGACTCGGCCATGATGAGACAAAAGACAACCAACTCGGAACTCTACTGAATTCACTAGGAGGTTTTGGAAGCCCCGAACTAGGTCTCAACCAAGATCTTACAGTCGGCCCGCCCAGACGCTGGCCTGCAGGTAATGGTGTTCACATTCTTATGCCCCACTATCAGGTCACAAAGAAATCATAGAGGTATAATGTATCAATGAGAAAATCATTGAGATAGTTGGGCATAAGAGTGTGAACACCATTACCTGCAGGACACAATGTGGGCGGGCCGACTGTAAAATCCTGGTTTGGCTCCAGTTCAGGGGGTCCAGGACCTTCCAGTGAAATCAGTAGTTCCAGGTTGGTTGGCTTTAGTCCCATCATGGCTGAGTCAGTCTAGGCAGGTGTCTGGAAATCACCATAATGCCAGGTCAAGTCACTCCATTGTTTCAAAATTATTTTCTAACTCACCTAGTTGTGCTTATGGGGGGGGGGGGGGGTTGATATTTGGCTCTATGGTCCCGCATCCCAACTGTCCAATTAGATCCTTCAGACCTGCCTGTATGAAGTACAGTACCTGTGGGAGGTGTAATTATAGTACTTCAGCCTCTCATGATTTTGAGGATAGCCACATAAGGGTCTCTCAGTAGAGTTTGGCAGCATCCTCGACTCACAATTGTGGATCCTGGGTTTGGTTCCCAGGTGGAACAGAAATCCTGTAGTTTGATATATTTTCTTTTGCCTAATGCATCTGTTCACTTAGCTGAAAATAAGTATCCAGGAGTTAGGCAACTGTTGTGGGGTTGTATCCTGAGCAGGATTAGTAGTTTGACTTTTGGGGGACCTCAATACAAGCCTAAAGTATATACATATATATATATATACAAACACAGGCTTCCTGTCCCTGATAAAACAAATTATTACTGAGCGTCCAGTCATTATATCCTTCAGACTGCATGAGGTACCTAGCTAAAGCTATGCAGTTCAGTATTCTATCAACTCTTGTGTTCTTAAGGATATACTGTACACATAATCAACCCAAAATTTTACCCTCTATAGCTAACTAACCATTCTGTGAGACCTGAATTTTATTACCACAAAAGGTAGCTCTTGAAACAAGTTATGTAACCTTGCATACAGTTTATGCAATCCATCCTGCATAATGATAGTTCTGTACTATAGCTAATATCGATGGTGTATAAAATATTGACTATTGCTTCCAGAAAAACTCCACCTTTTGTACCACTGGAATTTCAATGAGCCTACAAGAATTTGAAACAGCCTAATCATAAATCTAACCTATCCTAAGCCTAAATAAATCTTAGGCTTAATATACATAATCTTTGGTCTAATTTAGGTCATCTATCTCGGCTCATCTGCAAAATGTTATTTTGAAATCTTACTTTTTATTTTTTTGAGGGGTTCAACCTAGCATTGGTTCCAAGGATCAATGCCCATGCGGCCTGGTCTTCCAGCCCAATTTTATACATTTTATCCATGTACTGTACTGTATTATAATAATAATAATAATTTTTATTTAATCAAAATTACATAAATAAATAGGATACAAAAAGATTGCATGAATCATGGGTAGTGCAGGTAAAATGCATACAGCCACAAATATGCTGTGTGTTTCGAGCATAAAATGGTAAAAAAACTAAGATAGAATAAATGGGATCAAAACCAATAATGAATTGAGGTAGAGAAACAGAAATAAAATGGCAATTATTATACAATAATAATAATAATAATAATAATAATACTGTAATTATTTGCAAGAAGGTACAATGGGTTAATGAGATTGTATATTTTTGGTAAAGTAAATTGGTATTTTTACATTCTTGCAAAGCCACTAACACACACAGCATTTCAGGCAGGTCCTTAATCTAACATATCAGGTAAGATGAAAAGTTACGCTGTAACAAAATTTATATCAACATATAATAATAATATAATAATAATAATAATATAATAATAATATTAATAATTTTATTTAGGTAAAGGTACATACATAAAGAGATTTTACAAAGTTTGTTAGCTTTATAGATAGAGCTAGTACATACAATGCCTAAAGCCACTATTACGCAAAGCGTTTCGGGCAGGAAAAAACATTAATGACTAAAGCTTAAAACTAATGGGTAAAAAGAAAAAAATGCGTTGAGTACAAATAAAAATAGAGGTAAAAGAGGGGGGAACATTGTTGAAAAAGCAGCACAAATACAATTACAAATTATTACAGAAAATTACAGTCAAACAGCGTTGATTTGAAAAACAAAAACAAACAAAAAACATACATGGGTTGACAATAGAGGGGTAAGGTAGGTTACAGGGAATTTATTAGGTATAGCTTCGTTTTTAACTTAAACTGGTTGAGAGAGGTACTGTCTTTAACATGGTTGGGAAGGTCATTCCACATTCTGGGCCCCTTGATTTGTAGAGCATTTCACATTCTACATTCATCATTTCACATATAGCTACAATATAAATTGACAGAGGTGATTACACTGGTCAAGATATGTCTTATGTATTAATATTGGGGAAGTGGGTTGGGTAGTACAAGATACAATGTAAGTTTGAAGCAGAAGGAAGGAAATTATGAGGATAAAATTAAGTACTTTTTGGTTTTACTTTTGAATAAGGCATAGGTTGGACAATTGTTAGCATTGTCTATCTGAAGTTGAATTTGATTTGAAGATTTACTACCAAATAAAATGTAGTAGGTCTTTTCTATGTTTAGTGTGAGTTTGTTGGTTGACATCCATGAGTGGATTTTTTTTAATTCATTATTTGACAATATTATTTAGTGTGTGGGGGTTGGGGTCAGAATAGATGAAGGTACAGTAGTATCGTCAGCAAATAATATGATGTATACAAGAAATATGAGGGGTCCTAAGATGCTGCCCTGTGGCACTCCTACTGTTAATGGTAGAGTGGGGAAGGTTATGTTATTGATCACTTCATATTGGTGTCTGTCACTGAGATAGGAATGAATATACCTGCTTGATGGGGTTCTGGGAGTTGTTCTACTCCCCAAGCCCAGCCTGAGGCCAGGTTTGACTTGTGAGAGCTTGGTCTTACAGTCATTTGCTTGGAGCGGCTCGCAGGCCTTTTTCAGAGCAAGGCCTCAGATACCATGGTGTTGAAGTTTAAGTAAGAGGTAGTTATGGTTTACAGTATTAAAATGCTTTTCTCAGGTCAATGAAAAGGCCAATTTGACCATCATCAAACATGATTGGAATAACACAAATTGCAAGAGAACATGTTAATTTTACAGCATGAACAGAAGGAATGCAAACTTGCATTCAATTTGTATATGGCAGATAACAGCAGTAGTACAAGTTCAGTAATTAATGTTCAATAACAGCAAAACAGAGGTTGACATATAGGAAGGTAAAGTGGGCTACATAAGAGTTTATCAAGTAGTTCAGATGATTTTTCACCTTCAGGGTGAAAAATGGGTAAGTTTATGGAAATGGGTTCTACAGAATAATAGGTTTATAAACCCATGGAACAGCTCTGTTAAATTTTAAAATCCAACTGGAAAAGATAAAGGCAAATGGGGGGGACCTTTGACAAGCTGCCAGCTTCCTGTCCTCATCAAGGCCACTAGTGGCCCTCAAGTAAATTCAGTGAAATTACTTATATCTAGATTTTACCCCATTTGAGATTTCCATCCAGATTTTACCCCATTTAGCGAAGTTCACCCCATTTATACTAATAATGCCCTAATCCAAGATGGTATTACAGGTACCTGAATTTATCTGAGAACCACTAACACTTGTGGCCTGGACAAGGACAGGGACTGGCAGCTTGTCAAAAGTCCTCCCATTTACCCTGATGATCTTTACTCATTAGAGTTTAAAATTTAACAGAGTTTTGGTATTTATGGTTTCAGCAGGTAGGCAGTTCCATGGGTGTACAACCCAGTGGGTGAAAAAGAATCTCCTACTTTCAGTCCTACATTGTTGCTTGTTGAGCTGGAAACTGTTGCTCCTTGTTTGTGTTACATCTGACCTTTTGAAGAAACCAGGTAAATCAGGTAAAGAAAATTGCCTGGAACAATATCTTCCAAACTGATCAGTATTTTAAAAGTTTCAATGAGATCCGCCCTGTCATGTCTGATTTGCAGTGTTGTTTGCCCTGTGACCCTCAAACGTTCCTGATACGAGAAATAACTTGGATCTAGAATGATTTTTGTTTCACTTTCTCCAGAGCAGCTATATCCTTCTGAAGATGAGGTCTTCATGTTTGCATACAGTAATCCAAATGGGGGGGGGGGGCACACTAGAGTCCAATTGAATCACTACCTTCTTTTCCTCAAATTCAAAGGTTTGCCTGATTATTCCAAGGGTTTGGTTAGTTTTTTTGACTGCTGCTCCTTGCCATCTGTGCAACTTTTCCTGAATGGTGGATTTTGATTCCAAGGTCCTTTTCTTCATCAATTTGCTGTAATGTAATGCTATTTAATTTTTGTCCCGAAAGGTGAGTTTATTGGACAGCACCACTCATCCTGTGAGTGGACACACCACCATTGCAGCATACACAACCCCTAATGAGAAGAAATCCCACTGGGTTGCTATGCCCCACATGCAAGGGCTTGCATATGTCGATATTAAAAAGCATTTGCCCGTTGTCTGACCATTTGTGAAGTTTATGTAGATCTCCTTGTAAGGTTTTGTAAGGCTCTTTGTATATTGTGCATTCCCTCAATCTAGATCTCACATGAAGCATTATTGAGGGCCCTTATAAGGTAGATAAAACCAGTCTACCAATATCTATATTGTGTCAACTAGGATACTAACAAAGAAAGGAAATCGGAGCACCAGGTGCATTAAATCCAATCTATGTGCCAACTTAATTATAACCATATACATGTGAATTATATTGCAGTTACTAACTATATAAAATAAAAACAAAAGGTTTTTGTACAAAATCCTATATAAACAAGGTTTTTATACAAAATCGTATGTAAACAAGGTTTTTTATACAAAATCCTATATAAACAAGGTTTTTATTCAAAATCCTATATAAACAAGTTTTTTTATACAAAATCCTCTATAAACAAGTTTTTTTATACAAAATCCTCTATAAACAAGTTTTTTTGTATAAAACCCTATTTAACAAAAGGTTTTTGTACAAAATCATATATAAACAAAGTTTTTGTACAAAAATCCTATATAAACAAAAGGTTTTTGTACAAAATCCTATGCATTTTGGTAAAAGAATTTAAAGAAATGCAAAGTATGGGTATAATTACTCATGGCGTCAGTCTTCCAAAGCTTGTAAGTCGAGTCGAAGGAGTAGGATGGAGGCGTGGAAAACGTGAGTAATCTCCCCTCTGCCATGTTGCATGCAACATACAACAGTATGTTGTATACTGTTGTAATCCCACCACCTCGTGGCTGAAGGTGGGTGAGAGGAGAGGGGAAAACTGCGAGCGTCCTCCCCTCTCGGCGTCTCCACCAAGACTGAACCTCCCTGCCTTCACTGATTATATTCAATTCAAATTCAAATTCAAATTTTTATTCAGGTTAAGTACATACATAAAATAGGAATTACAAACATAATGTTGGATTTATAGATAGAGCTAGTACATAATAACCTAAAGGCATTAATACGCATATATCATTTTTATAAATGTTTTAAAAACAAAAGTGTATGTATATTTGATTATAAAGAAATGTAAATCAAATTATGATGGGAATGCGCCTATATAATCTCACTTGTACATGACGTAGGGCGTATATAGTTATATATGTTATATCTTCAATAAATGACACGTGCTCAACCGGCTCTATCCTGTTGTTGTAATTGGGTCAATTCGGATTCCATATATAGGAGCTGTCACGTATGGGCAATAATAGGCTTTCTACACATTTTCTTGTGTCTTCTTACGTTGAGGATAAATGTATGAAAATAGGTTATGCAGAATATAGGTTTATTAAAACAACATGCAGGTAAGTTTGTGGAAATGGGTTCTATAGAATAATAGGTCTATCAAAATAGGACATGCAGAATATGTTTATAACAACAGCACATGCAAAATTATCTGTGCCGAATTTCAAAATATACCTGAAAACGATCATCAAGGCAAATATGGCGGACCTCTGACAAGCCGCCGACTTCATGTCCACGTCGAGGCCACTAGGGTTAGAGGCTCTCGGTTAAATCAGGTAAAAATAACTTTATCGTAATAGACACGTATGGGCATTCAAATAGGCCAAAGTCGCAGTTGACATCATCTATGAATGAAATAATGAGACGTAATTGCCATAGTGAGGTGTTAGCCTCTTATTAAATATGTATATATACGGTCACGAGTCCCCCATTTTAAGTTTTATTGGTTATGTTAATGTATGTGTGAGAAAATTAACGTTTACTCATAATTCATTAATAGCACTATATAACATATATAATGCTTGATTAATTCTAGTATTTGAAGGTGGCTGCGAACGCTATCTAGCGAACAAATACATTGAACGACCAAAATAAATGCATGTATCTCCTGACGTCTTTTTTCTACTTAATATTATATATTAAGTGTACATTTATAATACATATTGTTATATACATCTATAACTATAATATAATCATATAATCAATATAATGCGAGTTAATAAATACCTACCATAGCATCACACTGCTTTTGTGCGCTCGATCGAGTTTGTGTCCATCGCCATGTGATGTATCTACCTATGAGGACTTACCTATCAGTACAGATGTTTACACCGGCGTGAATACATAGTTTATAGAAAATCCATGCACATATAATCCTGTACTTCAGTCATCAAAAATATATATGTGACAAGCAGACGATTTAAAGTGTTTTTTTTAATATTTGGGTTGTTAAATATTGACCAATAATATATAATAAGGAGAGTTAGTGTTCGTCAGAAGCGGTGTGATGCCGGTGGGTCTGGGGCTCTATTAGCTCTATAAATCATACTACTCCAGAAACAACGTGATTCCGGTGGATCTTGGGCTCTACTGGCTCTATAAATCACACTCCAGGAACAGTGTGACAGTGGTGGCTCTAGCAGCTCTTTAAATTGCACTTCAAAAGCAACGTGATTCTGGTGGATCTTGGGCTCTACTGTGGCTCTTTAAATCACAACATAACGTGATGCTGGTGTGCCTTGGGCTCTAGCAGCTCTATAAATCAAACTCCAGAAGCGTGATCATAGGGGGAGTTTGGGGGCTGTGGCTCTAGCAGCTCTATAAATCATACTCCAGAAGTGTGATACTAGGGGGAGTGAGGGGCTGGGGCCTTGGGCTCTATCAGCTCTATAAATCCCCTCAGAAACAACGTCATGTCGGGGATCATGTCCAGGGTGACAGGGTTTTTACCTTATTTAAGCTGCGTTGCAAATCGAAGCAGCGTTCTTGACCGAAGAGCCGGCACGCTATTGCAGGTAAAGTTGATCTGATTTGTGGCTTTCATTAATTGCTATATACCCAACTACTTGGGCTGGACGGTAGAGCGACGGTCTCGCGTCATGCAGGTCGGCGTTCAATCCCCGACCATCCACAAGTGGTTGGGCACCATTCCTTCCCTCCGTCCCATCCCAAATCCTTATCCTAACCCCTGTGCTATATAGTCGTAATGGCCTGGCACTTTTCCCTGATAGTTAAAAAAACTTTTCATTATGTATACTGAATATGGGTGATTTTGTTTAAATCTCTATAAGTAGCTTTATTTTTGTTAAAGATTTTTTTACGTAGCTTTTTTATTTTAATTTGTTTTGTGGATTATTATATAATCTATGAAACGAATCGCTTGCCCGAAACGCTGTGAGTATTAGTGGCTTTAGGAATAGTATATACTAGTTCTATCTTTTGATGTACTTTTACTAAATAAACTATTATTATTATTATATGTATGTGGGGCTTTAAATTTTTATTTATGTATTTATTTATTTTATTTTTTATTTTATTTTATTTATTTATATATACAAGAGTTCTTACATTCTTGTACAGCCACTAGCATGTATAGCGTTTCGGTCAGGTCCTTAATCCTAATTTTCTCCCAGAATACGACCCGCCAAATCATTTAACAACCAGGTACCCATTCACTGCTAGGTGAACAGAGGCTACAGTTAAGGATTGGCGCCCAGTCAATCCTTCCCGGCCTGGATACGAACCCAGGCCAAAGCGCTCACGAAGTGCCAAGCGAGAGTTTCACCACTACGCCACGGTGACTGTAATACCGAAGTGGCACAGAAATGGTTGGGTGGGTTTCCTATCACCTAATGCGCCTGTTTACCTAGCAGTAAATAGGTGTCTGACAGTTAGGCAACTGTTGTGGGGTTGCTTCCTGGGGAGGGGTCAGTAGTTTGACCTTTGGGGGACCTTGATATAAGCCTAACATGTATGTATATAAATTGGCTGCCTGTACCCTGACAAAATGAATTATTAATGTTGTTATTATTGCACAAAGAAATCACATTATTTGGGTAAAACATGCTTTTTTGACAGGAATCCTAAAAGGTGTTAGAGTGGACCATTCATATAATACTGAATTTGTTAAATCTTTGACAATCTTAACTTTTATTCACAAAATAGCTTATTTTAGGTTGTTTACCATTTGATGACCTATCTAGGCACAAAAGTTAATACTTTTCACGAATAAAAATTAGTTGAACATTTTAGGAATTATTTTTTCTGATGGTGTAGCAAAGATGAAATAGATCACCTTCAAATGTATAATGAAGACCAGGGTCAGGACTTGTTAAACATTTATACAATTGCTTACAAAACCTGTACGTGTTGACGAAACCACACACCAGAAATAGAAGAGACGATGACGACGTTTCGGTCCGTCCTGGATCATTATCAAGCTGATTGTGATAATCGACTTGATAATGGTCCATAACAGATCGAAACATCGTCGTCTCTTCTATTTGTAGTGTGTGGTTTGGTCAACATTTTTCAGCCACATTATTGTGACGTTACAGCTGCAAACTTGTACATCTTTCCTCAGTCATGGCGGCTTTGTTTACATTTACTGTATTAATTAAACAGTTTATGAGCTCCAAAGCACTACGAGGTTGTTTATAAAATGATAACCTTGGGTTGTGAAGTTTTGATATTTGTAAACTGTTTCATAAATGTAAACAAAGCCTCCATGATTATTAAAAGAGGTACTCGATTATCTTGAGTATCTTGAGATGATTTCGGGGCTTTTTAGTGTCCCTGCGGCCCGGTCCTCGACCAGGCCTTCACCCCCAGGAAGCAGCCCGTGACAGCTGACTAACACCCAGGTACCTATTTTACTGCTAGGTAACAGGGGTATAGGGTGAAAGAAACTCTGCCCATTGTTTCTCGCCGGCGCCTGGGATCGACCCCAGGACCACAGGATCACAAGTCCAGCGTGCTGTCCGCTCGGCCGACCGGTACTGTACATGTTTTGTAAGTGGTTGAGTAAATGCTCATTGAATCCTGACTTGAATCTCAAGTACTGTATAACATTTCGTAATACTGTATATTAAAATTATTCATTAATTGTACAGTATGTTACAAATAGTTCTATCATTTTTAACACAATTGGTAAACTACCAGTATATATTTTTATTTTTTTAATGTGTTCACTGTAATTTATTTTCAGTTTATAAAGGTTCAGCACTAGAAGAGCACTGTAGATCGGTCCGTCTAATTACCACAAGCTACACAAGCTTCAGAAAGCTTATGTTAGTAATGAATAAATATGATATATTTACTCATTATAATGTTGGTGCTGAATGTACAACACGAGAAAACATAATTTTAATCTGAAAAAGTATATTTTTATTAAGAAATTAGACGAAAATAAAGAGCTGGTGACGCCAAATAAAGTCGACAATCCAAGCGTCGGTTAGGTTAGGTTTGGTTAGGTTTGGTTAAGTTAGGTTAGGTTAGTTTAGGTTAGGTCAGCCTAACCTAACATCATATTTATTCATTACTAACGTATTGCCAGGAAGCTTTCTGAAGCTTGTGTAGCTTGTGGTAATTAGACGGACCCCTGTAGATATTAAATTATGAATACAATTTTTTTTTCTTTTTACAGAAATGTAGAAAGCCTTCAAGCTATGTTCAAAATTATAGATTCTTTTCTGCACTGCCTCCAAAAAGTCAAGTACCCAAGAAGGAGAAGCCGCCGCGCAAGGGGCCTATATCCTGGAAGTCTCTCTTAGTCACAGGAGTTATTGGATCTGGTGTCTTGGGCTTTATGCTCTATGTTAGATCAGAGAAAGAATTAGGTTTGTACCAGCTGGTATTTTGGATTGTATATGCCTTTTATATTTTAGAACGTTTAGCATAATAATTAATACAAAATTAATTCCTGCTGTTTGTGATGGGAAGTCTGTAAGCATGTGTAAATATGTACTTTAGGCTTGTATTAAGGTCCTCCCAAGGTTGATCCACTGACCCTTACCAGGATGCAACCCTACAACAGTTGCCTAACTCCTGGGTACCTATTGACTGCTGGGTGAACAGAGGCATTGGGTGGAAGGAAGCATGACCAATCATTTCTGTCCTACCTAGAAATCGAACCCAGGATCCTCAATTGTGAGACGAGAATGAAGCCAACTGTACTAAAGAGACCCTATCATGTACAGTACTAGCAAATAAGACTGTAATTATTATACACTTGGGTTCTGTAGCACAGTGGTCTCTGTTCTCAGCTCACGATTGAGGATCCCAGATTCCCAGATCCCAACCTGTTGCTGTACACAGACGGTTGGGCAAGTTTCGCCGGATGCTTATGTTCGACTAGCAGTAAACAGGTAAATGGTAGTTTACCAACTGTTGTAGGTTAGATCCTGGGGACGGTCAGTAATTGGCCTAGAGGGACCTTGATAAACCTAAGTTCAGGTTTTATGCCCTCAATACCAGGAATTGAATAACATTAGAATACTGTATTCAGCATTCTCTACTGTACTAGCAAGTATGACTTTAATTCCATTCTAACGCAGGGATCCCTCATTGGTTCATGTTTCTTATCTAAATGTTTTATAGATTAGCAAGGTTATATTTTACTATTGGTTAGAAATACTGTACCATGAGTGTGGTAGCAAATTCTTGGTGTTCATTTGAATATTCTACTTTCTCATTCTTACTCCTTAGTTCATTAAAGGATCATATTGTGTATATGTACTGTATTGGAGTGTTAAGTGCAGTGTTGTCAATAATGCTGACTTGCATTTTTCCCCTATATGGTTTTAACACCTTCTCACCCCCTTTTCCTGCTTCGTCTTCCCTCACTCCTTTCTCTTTTCTCTCACTCTTGCACATCTTTGTCACCTTTCCTCACCTCCTCTGACACAATTACTCACCCTCCCCCATAGCCTTCACATACATCTACCACCACCACTTCCACAAACATTAGCCTCAACACACCTCTGACACCACCATTGCTACAAACATTTGCTTTTACACACCTCTGCCACCACCATTCATCTCCATACACCACTGGCACCACTTCCATTTGACCCTTTCTCTCTTCCTCCTGTGTGGAATACCCAAAGAATTCAGCCTGTAACTTTATTTTCATTTATTTAAAGTCATCATGCATGTGTATTTTTATTTTTTTGTCACATCATAAAATTAAATGTATCTGTTAGGAAAGATGTTTGAGTAGATATTGCAATTAAATTATCAATGGGAAATGTAAACCTAGTTTTCCCTCAAGTCAAATTCACCAATTAATGATTGTTCCTAATTAATGAGGCTTTCTAACACTCTTACTCGTTAATTTTTTTTTTTTTTATTATTGTAAGCATATTGCGAAATTACTCTGATGACAACTGAAAGAAGTTTTGCCGTATCCATTTTAACATTAACGTGAAATCGGGAAGGATGACGTACCACTCTTGCTTCCTCTTGGATGGAAGGAAACAGTGCTCTAGGGAGTCTGTGGTAGAGGTGAAAAGTTGATCCCCCCCTTTTGGTCCTCCATTTTAGAGAGGATCTGATCCATGCCTGCAAAACTGGTGCTGGGGAAGATGTTTTCCTCTTGTTAAATAAATATCTATCAATTCATTGGCCCATCATCTCTAAAGGCATCAGTTCTTGTGATAACAAAGGTCTTTCAAAATGCAAGAAAAAAATCTTCATCATGGTACTTGTGTGGAAAATCTTGCTGGCCTTCATGTGGGCAGACTACTGTTCAAACAGCTTTTAAACAAATTTTCTCTGCATTTATACTCTATGGGCTGGAATTTTAGATTTTACTCACTATTAGAAAAGTAACAAAAGTGTCTTTTGAAGATTTTTTTTTCTGGGGGGAGCCCCTTTAACTCCCCAGAGCTATCCAGGCTGATATGTATATCATTAGACTTTGGCATCAGTCGGTGTGAATGGAGTTCTATGTCTACCGGGGACCACAAGCCAGAACCTCTGGCCTCTGCAGAGAGGCACAAGGAGCAATGGCCTATAGAAATGCACATGGGATTTAGAGCATTCTATGTCTGCCATCGACCAGGCCAGTCACCCAGAAAGGTAAGCGCCTCAAAACAAACTCCTGTTCTGGTTAAAATAGCACAGGGTTTTTGGCGGTCAAACAGGGTCTGGGCTGCACGCTTCCTCGTAAATGTTCCGGGGCCTAGTCTGGCCTGTGTCGCTTTAGGTCGGCGGTTGTAGCCTGTTGTCTTGACTTCGAGTTGAGGTGAGAGCACCGACCGCCTCCCGGGTAAGTCCCTCTAATTTTTGTCTTTGGTGATGTAGCTCCGGGGAGCCGAAGGGGTTCCCCCCCGAAAACCAGCGTTGAATGTAATGAAACGCCATTTTCTGGGTGAGACCTGGAGGCTCCCCGGCAACACCCCATCCCTCTGGTCTGCATTTTTCGCGTATTTTGACATCCAGCCTCGAACTGAAGGGTGGATCGCAGTGGGTCTGGGCCTCCCCCTCCTGCTCCTGGGGAGGGGGCAGCTGTGCAGACATGCAGCGCAGCTGGTGTGACGTCATGCTTGTTTGCTCGTTTTCATTTGGGGAGTTCTGTCCACTCGTTAGTCTATTTTAGTCATTTTAACCAGAATAGGGGTTCGTTTTGAGGTGCTTACTTTTCTGGGTGCCTGGCTCGGTCGATGGCAGACATAGAATGCTCCAAATCCCATTTGCATTTCTACCGGCCACTGCTCTTCGTGCCTCTGAGGGGTCTGGCTCGTGGTCCTCGGTAGGCCGCGAGGTATCTATAGAACGTTCTGGTTCCTTTCCAGCCATGTGTGACATTGGGCGCTTGTCACAGCAGTCTGTCTCTTCCTTGTCTTGAGACCTGCAGTGCTGCCGCTTCCCAGGTAAATCATTGACTGATGCCAAAGTCTAATGATATACATATATTAGTCTGGATAGCTCTGGGGATCCTCCGGGTCTCACCCAGAAAATGGTGTTTCATTACATTCAACGCTGTTTTTATTTTTTTCCATCTCCAAATGATGAGAAAAAATTTTGATTGAAATTTACCCCTGGAAGAAAGTCACAAGGTTATGAGCTCATTGATACGTTTCTTGATGACCCATACTTCGTCAGGGCTCCAAGTGACATCAGCCATGACTGATGGGGAAAGGGGTCTAGTTGGGGAGCTTCATGCTCTCTTCCAATGCCGGGTTTCTGTTTGTTTGGTCCAGGTGGTCGTTTTGTTTGTTTGCAGCCTTTTCCTACTTTTCTGGGGAAGAATGAGATGGCGGGTTTGCAGAGGGGTTTGTTGGTTGTGGATGCAACCAACGAACCAATGTTGCAACCAACGCAACCATTGTTGGTTAGACCGGGGTTATCACATGTTGTGTCCAGTGGCGACTCTATGCCACCAATTCGACCCACAGTGACCCACAGTTCGACCTGTGAGTCACTGGTTCTGTGATAATGGACGTTCTATGACGGTGGACATTCTGTGACGGTGGACGTTCTGTGACGGTGGATGTTCTGTGGGTGGATCCGGTTTCCTTGGTGTCCCGTTTCAGGGCTTGTGTATCTCAGGTTTTCTGCAGTGTCTTCAAGTTCAGTCAGCGTGCAGTCTACCCTCGTGCCCATGACGTTCGTAAGTACTGTATGCTCCTCTCACAGTGCTTTTTGGCAACATGTCTTGGGTAGAGGTTTGGAGGTTCGACCTCCAAAACACGTGCGGGGGTTTTGGAGGTCGAACAGGGTCCTTAACTTCTTAAGTTATCTTAAGATGATTTCTGGGCTTTAGTGTCCCCGCGGCCCGGTCCTCGACCAGGCCTCCACCCCCAGGAAGCAGCCCGTGACAGCTGACTAACTCCCAGGTACCTATTTACTGCTAGGTAACAGGGGCATTCAGGGTGAAAGAAACTTTGCCCATTTGTTTCTGCCTCGTGCGGGAATCGAACCCGCGCCACAGAATTACGAGTCCTGCGCGCTATCCACCAGGCTACGAGGTCCTGGCCGCGAGATATCTATTGAATGTTCCAATTCCTACCCCGCCATGTGTGGCTTTGGGCGCCTGTCATAGCAGTCTGTCTCTTCCTTGTCTTGAGACCTGCAGTGCTTCCGCCTCCCAGGTAAATCCCTCCTTTTACATATCTTTGATTAGTTAGTTTCTGGGAGCCGACAGGGCTCACAACAAAGAACCAGCATTGAATGTAATGAAATGCCATTTTATGGGTGAGCTCCGGATATTCCCTGACACCCTCCCTCCCTCCGGTCTGCGTTTTTTCATCATTCAAGAACTGAAGTGGTGTGCTGTTAGCTCCCCCTCCCCCCAGCAGTGGTCTGTTTTGATTCTCCTACCTTTCTGGGTCGATGGTAATATGACATTGTACATACTTTAAATGTAAAGTTCTCATAGGCCATTGCTCCCTGCGCCTCTCTGAAGGGACCAGGTTGTAGCTCAAGGTTCTTGGTAGGCATAAAAACTTTTGTGACTGATAATCCCAAACTAATACTGTATAGCACATATCAGTTCGAATAGCTTCAGGGAGCCTCCGGGGCTCGCCCAGAAAATGGTGTTTCATTATATTCAATGCTGGTCTTATTAATTTTCATATGATAAATGCTGTTTTTCAAAAAGTGAAAAGGGAAATAACTTTTCCCCATTCCCTTAGTGGTGAAGGCTGAGGTGGTAAAGGCCAAGTAAGATCCAACAATATGCTCTTCCCTAATTGACTAAGATGATCATAGGATAGTGTGATATAAATTATTATAATTATTGTTAGTCATTTTACTAAGCTTTCATGAGTCAGACATGTTCCTAACTGGTCCACAGACTGCAGTGAAGCTGTACAAAGACCTCTGTATGGGAATTTCAAGAGAGCTATCTCAAAAAGAGTAGTATACAATAAGGGCCAAAAATTGTATGTTTTGAGAAATATTTGCTTTACCAAGACCTCTACACATGTTTTGATTTGCTCAAATATTTGTGTTTTGCTATTGTATTGTGGAACATATGGAACCTCAAGGACAAAAAAGGTTTAAACATTTCATATTTTACTCCAAGGAGATGGATCACTTTAATATGTATTGTATAAAGAAATCCCTGAATATAGTCTACATTACATTTATTGATAAATATGGCTAAAGATAATTTCTATTTTACTTTTTTCTTTCAGCTATGGCCAAGGAGAGGAAGAGACAGTTAGGAAAAGCTAATATTGGTGGGAAATTTGATTTAATTGATCATAATGGTGTTCCACGAAAGAGTGACGATTTCCTAGGCCAGTGGCTTCTAATCTACTTTGGATTCACACATTGTCCCGATGTCTGTCCTGATGAGCTTGAGAAGATGGCCGCTGTAGTGGATGCTGTAGGTATGATATATCACTGCAGTAATAATGTTTTATTTTAGTAATACTGTGATTAAGGATAGTTATTGATTGATATTCTATATTTTTCATCTGCTATGTCAGATTGGGCTTCCTAAGGTAAACATCTTTCGTCTGTTGGATCCTTGGACATAGTCATGCCACTACAGGTTATGTGTAAACATTATGTAGGTGTGAGATGTGAAGACTGAACTGTACCAGTGGTTTTTAGCACTGAGATTGACAATTGTGTTACATCAAAACAGCATTTCTGGTAAATTGCAGAAAGCAGTATTATAAAATTATGATATATCGTTGATGGTCAAAATATCTGTAAGCTCTTGGCTAGAATCCTAAGGGAGAGAATCATTCACCTTCTCAAATTGAACAATCTAGTAAAGTCAGTGCAACATGGTTTTGTTAAAAGTAAATCCTGTCTTAAAAGCCTTCTCACATTTTTGGAAATGGGGCCTGACAGCTGAGTAGACAGCGTTCAGGATTCGTAGTCCTAAGGTTCCAGGTTCGATCCCCAATGGAAGCGGAAACAAATGGGCAGTTTCTTTCACCCTGATGCTCCTGATCACTTAGCAGTAAATAGGTACCTGGGAGTTAGCTGCTATGGGCTGCTTCCTGGGGGCATGTAACAAAAGGAGGCCTGGTCAAGGACCAGGCTGCGGGGACGCTAAGCTCTGAAATCTTCTCAAGATAACCTCAAGATAGATGGTAACCAGTTAGTCAAACAAAAGACTTGCAGTAGATGTATTATGCATGGACTTATCAAAAGCTAATGATAAGGTACTACAAAAAAGACTAGCAAAGAAATTACAAGCATATGAAATAAATGGTAGAATACTAGAATGGATAAAATGATGGTTAAGGGTCGTCTTAAATGGAAATGTATACGACGGAAAAAATGTGGAGAGAGTGGAGTACAGTATTACAAGGTTCCATCTTGAGGCTGACCCTTTTTGTCAATAACATAAACGAGAATATTATGAACCACATCATGAAATTTGCATGACATCAAGATCTATGGTAAAGTTAGAAGTGAAAATGATATTCAAATCTTACAAAAAAAGATTTACATGTCCTCCACGAATGGTTGGAAGACAGGCAAAAAATGTTTTTTAATATTGAAAAAATGTAAGACCTTGCATTATGGGGCATAACAATGCACATGATAATGCCCAAATCAACAACACTACCTTGCAGCAGATTGATGTAGAAATAGACCTGTGAGTCAGAATCTGCCAGTCATTGAAAGTTTCACAAGTGATAGTTTCAGTCAAATAAAAAAAAAAACAATCAAACCCTAGGAATAGTCAAAGCCCCTTTGACTTCAAGAAAAAGAAGAGTTATTCAACTTTGCTAATCTCTGGTGCATTTCCATTTGGACTACTGTAACCAAGTATGAAGACCTCATTCAGGACATTTCTGCTTTAGAGAACGTCCATCGTCAGGCAAAAAATCATTCCAGAATTAAGTCGACTCTCATGTGAAGATTGTTGAGGGTCACAGAACTAACAACGATGAAAAACAGACATGACAGGACTGATATCGTCAAAACTTGAGATGCCAAGCAATTTGGCGGATATTGTGTAGCGGAAGTGTAGCGGAAGCGTGTTGAACAGTCTCGGGCCTCTGATGTTGATAGAGTTCTCTCTCAGAGTACCTGTTGCACCTCTGCTTTTCAACGGGGGTATTCTGCACATCCTGCCATGCCTCCTGGTCTCATGTGATGTTATTTCTGTGTGCAGGTTTGGGACCAGCCCCTCAATTATTTTCCACGTGTAAATTATTATGTATCTCTCCCGCCTGCGCTCAAGGGAGTACAGATTTAGGCTCTTTAGTCGGTCCCAGTAATTTAGATGTTTTACTGAGTGGATTCTAGCAGTAAAGGATCTCTGCACGCTCTCCAGGTCAGCAATTTCTCCAGCTTTGAAAGGGGCTGTCATTGTGCAGCAGTACTCCACTCTAGAGAGCACAAGCGTTTTGAAAAGTATCATCATCGGTATAGCATCTCTAGTGTGGAAAGTTCTTGTTATCCAACCATGTCATTTTTCTTGCAGTTGTGACGGCTACTTTATTGTGTTCTTTAAAGGTAAGGTCTTCCGACATGAGTACACCCAGATCCTTTACATTGCCTTTTCGTTCTATGTTATGATTTGCCTGAGTTTTGTACGTGGTTTCTGTTTTTATATTTTCAATTTTTCCATAGCGCATGAGCTGGAACTTATCCTCGTTAAACACCACATTATTTTCTGTAGCCCATAGAAAGACCTGATCTACATCTGATTGGAGGTTTGCCGTGTCCTTTATGTTGCCAACTCTCATGAAAATCCTAGTGTCATCTGCAAAGGATGATACAGTGCTATAGGTTGTGTTCTGGTCTATGTCCGATATGAGGATGAGAAAAAGTACTGGAGCAAGCTCAGTACCCTGGGGGACTGAGCTCTTCACGGTTGATGGGCTGGATTTTATTTTGTTGACTATTACACATTGGGTTCTGTTAGTCAGGAAATTGTAGATCCATCTGCCTATTTTCCCGGTAATTCCTTTTGAACACATTTTATGTGCAATAACACCATGGTCACATTTAGCAAAGGCTTTTGCCAAATCTGTGTAAATTACATCAGCATTTTGTTTGTCTTCCATAGCATCTAATGCCATATCATAGTGGTCCAGCAACTGCGACAGGCAAGAGCGCCCTGTTCTGAAACCATGTTGTCTCACAACATGGTTTGTCCCACAAACCAACTGCCACCAAATGACAGTGCTACTGGACAATTGGGTCGAAGGAGGTAGCCACCTGCATTTCATTCCCAGTCCAACCAAACGCACTTGGGTTGGACCGGCATTAAAGAGCCAGAGTGAGGAGCTACTGAGGTGTCACTTGGAAAGAGGGCTTTCATCACTCTAGGGTTTCATTACTCTGTTTTGGAGCAAGGACCTCTTGGTAACTTCCCTTAGCCTTCTCTTCATGGTGCAATGTACAGTTATAACATGTTAAGAGCCAAGTGAGTGAATCAAGAGATTGTTAGATAGACATGAATTCAGTGGGTGAATGAGAGAGGTAGGGGTAAGTGAAAGAGAGAAAGGGGATGAGTGAGAGGAGAAGGGGGGTGAGAGAGAGAGAGGTAGGAGTAAGTGAAAGAGAGGAAGGGGATGAGTGAGGGGGAGGAAAGGGGGGTATAGATAGATACTCGGTGACACTATTGTCCCAGCAGGATTAAGACATTTCTCCGCAGTACCTTATTAGTTGCTCATTCCCACACTCAATCTTCCCCTCGTCCTTATGTCAGTAGGTTATCCTTGGGGATAAGAGCAAGGTAGCTGCCTTTCTCTAGGCCCAAGCTGCTCTAGGCCATACCTGGTGGTAGTGGAGGGAGGCTTATTGATGCAAAGTTAGATTTTTTAAGTGTTCAGTAGTTTGGTAACTGCTGGGGCGGAAAAGTATTGTGACTTCTTGTTTTCAAGAGTGGTTAACCTCAGTTATGTGTTGATCTTTGATCCTCATGTGTTCCCTGCCATAGGCAAGGGGCAAGGCTATTTCTCCTAGTGGATCAAAATGTTAATAGGAGCTTTGTGTGGCCAGAATGTCTCTTACCTACCCTACCCTGCCCTACCCTAATGTGCTTAACCTACCCTACCCTAATGTGCCAGTGATAGTGGCTGAAGGGAGCTACCTCATTTGCCTATAATTACCCTCGGTGCTATTTTAGAATTATTAATAAATGTGTCTCTTGTACCTCTTTTTGTCAGCACAATTTTGTGTGGTGTAATATTCTCTTAATGAAAAATCATTACAGTACTTATATTCTTTTTATAGATCAAATGGAACAAGTAGGAAACATTCAGCCACTGTTCATCACGGTGGATCCACATCGAGATAGCCAGAAGGCCATCAAAGAGTACTTAAGCGAGTTTCATCCCAAGATGTTAGGTCTGACAGGGTCGGATGAGAAGATTGGTGAGGCCTGCCATGCCTACAGAGTGTATTTCAGTGCGGGGCCCAGGGATGATGATGATGATTATATCGTGAGTATACTGTATATCTATTTCATGTGCAGTGAACTAGGGGGGGAACTATCAGGAGAAAGTGCCAAGCCATTACCACTATATAGCACTTGGAAGGGATCAGGATAAGGATTTAGACAGTGAAGTGTCTTAAATTTAACTTTTAATCAATCAAAAGCTCATATAAATTGCAAATATATTTTTTCCTATCATTTTGTGGATTACAAAAATGCACTGTTCAGTTATGAGTATTGGAAAGGTAAGGTAATTATCAGGAGAAAACGGCCATTCCAAGTGCTATACAGTATAATTGAAATGGGCTTGGCGCTTTACCCTGATAATTCCATTTCATTCCATTAGACAGTGGCTATGGAGAAATGGTCATACAATGCACAAAAAATAACATAATCCCAAAAAATCATTTTTCATTATAGAATTATTAATTTGTATGCAAAATGTAAGAACACGAAAATAAGTAAATATTTATCATTTCACTGCTAGGCTTTATCTTGCACTTGTCAATGCCTGGTGCTTGACTTTACTGACGCTTCTGTTTTATCCTCCGATGTTTCACTTATTGTTTCATCACTTGTTTTTCTTTATTTACATCCATAGAAAGCTGTTATATCCATATTTGCATCATACATGTAAAACCAGGACAAAAATTGTTTAAATCGTCATGTGACAATATCCACATTACCTCGTGAATCGACAATTGACGATAACCGCTGCCTATGGGTTAAAAAGTTGTCTCTTTCATCTACATTCTGAACATTGACAAACCACTTACAAATTAAGACTGGCACTAAACATACAGTAAAAGTCCTTTTTCATAAGGAGTGTTCAGTCCTAATAGCTCCATCTCCCACGAAAAAAATGGTCCAACAGCTATCAAACTGACAATGTTGTTGAACTTTTGAATTACTGTACAGAGAAAAATAAAGGCAAAATGTTGCTATTTTACCATTCATAAAATATAGTACTGTATTTTTCTTTTTCAAGAGTATTTATCAGTCTTTTTCATTTTTTTTTTTATCAGGTGGACCACACTATCATCATCTACCTCGTGAATCCCGATGGTGACTTTGTGGACTATTACGGTCAAAACAAGACTGCTGCAGAAGTAACTAATAGTATTGTTCTCAATATGAAGAAATTTGAGGAAATGAACAAAAGGAGTTTCATTCGGTCTCTGTTATAGTTTCACAAGTGTGGTATGTTATTACTTTCACCATTATATTAATGTGTTTACACTATCTTGACATGAAAAGTACTGTAATTTATTTTTATACCACTTTAAGTTTTCGATTCAGATTTCATTAAATTTGCGAGTACTGTACTATACTGTACTATATTCATTTTGAAAAAGCTCATTGTACATAAACATTTTTCATTTAGCATGCTAAATGTTCATTGAATAACATTGTAGAAATTATAAAGGTACTTTTGAGGTAATAGTGGCATCGAATATATTGTAATGGGCCATTACTGATTCTTTAAATAAATTTGTTACATGGGATTTTATTGATTTGAAGTAAACATTTTTTTTATAGTAACCTAATGTAATATGTTTTACAAAATACATTTACTTTGAAATGTAAGCTTTACTTTTAAGTATAAGATAAGGTGTTCATTTACCTTGATAAATAGGTACTGTACCTAGGAGTTTGGCAACTGTTGTGTGGGTGTATCCTGGGGAGGGTCAGTAATTAGCCTCGGGGGGGGTGGGTTGGAGACCTCGGCAAGCCTAATTTTCCTGTCCTTGACTATAAAAAATTGGGAAACCATTTCACCCACAGATTTTTTTTTCTTTCACATCCATTATTATATCTTTATCTACATAGAAATATTTCACAGCATTTAGCAACATGCTGCCAACTCCACACATTCTCATCACTCCCAAACCTTTCTATGTTAATCAAATATTTCTTGAAAAACTTCTCACATGAAACTTAGGGTTAATTTATCATTAGTCTACTCAAGATTGCTGTCGGCTCTTCATTTGTATTCATCTACCGGTTCTCTCACTAAATGCTTCAACTTGTATTATTTTGCCTCTTGGAGCCTTTTGAGGTATGATCACCATTAAACCACTTTTATCATTTTGTACATTGCACCAATGGGTGATCAGACCAACTTCCAGATTCTCCTCTCACTGTTCTTATTACACATGTAAGTGTACAGCACAGTACTGTACTTGTTTCCACATAGCAGCGGGTGCATCTACTAGGATACTAATGAAGTTTTAAGTTTAAGGGCCCCCCTAAAACCAGAGGGGACCCCAGAATGTTAGCAATGTTAGCCCACATTGCTTAAAAATATTTAGATCGACATCTCGGATTTAATCAAAATTTGAGATATAGCTGTTAAATTACACAAAAATTGTAATCTGTCCTGGAAGAACCCTATTGAAGAAGATAACAGTGGTTACCTACACCTTGTTGGTGGTTGCAAAAAGTGAGTCATAACAGTTCAAGCTTCAGAGCCCCACAAATTGTAGATTCGTCACTGCCACATGGTTAAACTGGTGCAATTAAATCATTTACCTTGCACCATATATTTTTATGTATACCAGCATCCTTATATTTACAAAATACATCATTAATGCATAACTCTTTCATTGCATAGATCTTTTAATCTACAGCCATTGTCATTCATTGGATGGGGATTTCACCGGGCAACAAAAGTCATTCCAGAGCTAAGTCATCTCTCGTATTGGGAACGGCTGATGGCCACAGGGCTAACAACACAGCAAACCAGACATGACGTGGCGGATCTCACTGAAACTTTTAAAATACTGAACAAGTTGGAGGACGTTGATCCAGACAATTTCTTCAAAAGGTCAAATGTAACACAAACCAGGAGCAATGGTTTCAAGCTCAACAGGTCTCAATGAAAGACAGAGAACAGGAGTGCTTTTTCACCCACAGGGTTATAAACCCATGGAACAACCTACCCGCTGAATCCGTAAATGCCAAAATTGTGATAAGTTTTAAAATCTACCTGGAAAAGATAATGCAAATGGGGGGGGGGCTTTCGATAAGCTGCTGGCTTCCTGTCCTTGTCGAGGGCATTAGGGTTAGTGGCCCTCAGAAAGGTAAATCAGGATGCTGTTACTACCATTATGTTATTGAGAAAAACATTTTGAACTGTTGCAGAGGAAGTTATTTATCATCACAAACAGTGCCTCTATATTCATTAATTGTCATATTCCTTCTCTGATTTTTCTTTCTTTGAGTGATAGAATTTCCTTGCTTGTCTGATGTGGGTATTTGGTATGAGTTAAAAGGTTTAACTACTAATAAGAAGCAGTGATAGAAGATGGGCAGCAAAGAGGTGAGGTAAGATATTCATCAGGAATTACTGTAATTAGGTAATTATCAGTGCTAAGCCAGTGTGACTGCTGTATATAGCACTGGAAAGGAATATGAGGACAGGATAGGATGATGGAGTGAAAGAATAGGGGCCCAACCACTTGGACCATCAGGAATCAAGCGCCGACCTGCATGAAGTGAGACTCGCTGTACCAACCCATCCAAGCAGCAGAGATTGGTGGGTTATTTTTACTGTGAACGGTTGCTGCAGTGCAGTAGTTTCCAACTGGAGGGTCACAACCCACTTGGAGTCTTTAAAGTATTAGAAAATCGGGCCATTTGCGAAAAAGGTTGACAACCACTGCTATAGAGTTTGTAGATCATGGGGTCACAGAAGCCCTAGAAGAAAAGCAAAATGCAGATGTTGTATACACAGACTTTGCAAAGGCGTTCGACAAATGTGACCATGGGGTGATAGCTCACAAAATGAGGTCAATGGGAATAACTGGAAAAGTAGGACGCTGGATACTCAATTTCCTGTCGAACAGAACACAAAGAGTAACAGTCAATCAGATAAAATCGAGTCCAAGCGATGTTAAAAGCTCTGTACCTCAAGGTACAGTCCTTGCACCGCTACTGTTCCTTATTCTCATATCTGATATAGACAAAAATACACGCCACAGCTTCGTGTCGTCCTTTGCAGATGACACAAAAATCAGCATGAAAATTACCTCTGCTGAAGACATTGAAAAACTACAAGCAGATGTCAACAAAGTTTTTGATTGGGCAGCAGAAAATAACATGATGTTTAACAGTGATAAATTTCAGGTACTCAGGTACGGCAAAAATGAGGATCTGAAACATAATACAGGGTACAAAACACAATCGAATCTTCCCATAGTAGGAAAACAGCATGTCAAGGATTTGGGAATAATGATGTCTGACGATCTAACGTTTAGGGAGCATAACCAAGCAAATATCGCGTCAGCCAGAAAAATGATCGGATGGATTACGAGAACTTTCAAATCCAGGGATCCCATCACAATGGTTGTACTCTTCAAGTCACTTGTGCTGTCCCGTCTCGAGTACTGCTCAGTACTCACTTCCCCCTTCAGAGCAGGAGAGATTGCTGAAATAGAGGGAATACAGAGAACATATACGGCACGCATAGACGAGATAAAACACCTAAATTATTGGGATCGTCTCAAAGCTCTCCAAATGTACTCTCTAGAAAGGAGACGAGAGAGATACCAAATAATATACACCTGGAAAATACTGGAGGGTCAGGTCCCAAATCTACACAGTAAAATAACAACGTACTGGAGTGAACGATATGGAAGAAAATGCAAGATTGAACCTGTGAAGAGCAGAGGTGTCATAGGCACAATCAGAGAGCACTGTATAAACATCAGGGGTCCGCGGTTGTTCAACGTCCTCCCAGCGAGCATAAGAAATATTGCCGGAACAACCGTGGACATCTTCAAGAGAAAACTGGACGGTTTTCTAAGAGAAGTTCCGGATCAGCCGGGCTGTGGTGGGTACGTGGCCCTGCGGGCCGCTCCAAGCAACAGCCTGGTGGACCAAACTCTCACAAGTCGAGCCTGGCCTCGGGCCGGGCTTGGGGAGTAGAAGAACTCCCAGAACCCCATCAACCAGGTATCAACCAGGTATCAACCAGGTCAGTCTTGTATATTGTTCAGGATGTAGTAGGTGACTTTTTAGGGGAAATCATAAGTGGATTAGAGAAACATGTGTCATATTCAATGTCCCTGGCTGCTCTAGAGGTTGTGGGTCAGACTTTTCTGAAAATTGCATTGAAGAACCCAGCTTACACAGATAAAATTATATGAAAGCATTATAATAATGTTTTGGGCTGAGTTGAACCTTTATCAAATCATTGATTTGATAAGTTCAAAATGGACTGAAATGTTGTCATATAAAGGTCTAGGATGAACAGAAATGTTGTCATATAAGGGTCCAGGACAAACCAATATTTATATATATATATATATATATATATATATATATATATATATATATATATATATATATATATATATATATATATATATATAATATGATTATTCGTGTGCTGAGAATGTGCTTTGAAATTACCACATAGTTCCCTATCATATAAGAAACCTGGTGAAACTGCAAGCAATTATACCTCAGCTGTGTTGAAACTCTCCTCTCTCTCATCTCATGTTGTTTTAAATTCAGCTATTAGGAACAAAAGTTCCAAGTAGCACGGGCTATGGTGAGCCCGTAGTGGACTTGCCTAACACAGGAGCGTGGCTGTAACTGTAATTCTCATCTTATTTCATTCTCCTCTCACATTCTCTCTCTCTCTCTCTCTCTCTCTCTCTCTCTCTCTCTCTCTCTCTCTCTCTCTCTCTCTCTCTCTCTCTCTCTCTCTCTCTCTCTCTCTCTCTCTCACATCTCTCTCTCTCTCTCACATCTCTCTCTCTCTCTCACATCTCTCTCTCTCTCTCTCTCTCTCACACATCTCTCTCTCTCTCTCACACATCTCTCTCTCTCTCACATCTCTCTCTCTCTCTCTCTCTCTCTCTCTCTCTCTCTCTCTCTCTCTCTCTCTCTCTCTCTCTCTCTCTCTCTCTCTCTCTCTCTCTCTCTCTCATCTCACATCTCTCGCTCTCACATCTCTCGCTCTCACATCTCTCGCTCTCACATCTCTCGCTCTCACATCTCTCGCTCTCATCTCTCTCTCATCTCATCTCTCTCATCTCTCTCTCTCATCTCATCTCTCTCTCTCATCTCATCTCTCTCATCTCTCTCTCTCATCTCATCTCTCTCTCTCATCTCATCTCTCTCTCATCTCTCTCTCACATCTCTCTCTCTCATCTCTCTAATCTCTCTCTCTCATCTCTCTCATCTCTCTCTCATCTCTCTCATCTCTCTCTCATCTTTCTCTCATCTCTCTCATCTCTCACATCTCATCTCTCTCTCACATCTCTCTCTCTCTCTCTGATTAATGATTATGTGATTATGTGTTCTGTGTAATAACAGAACGGAGCGGCGTAGGGGAGAAGAGTTAATCATCCAGGTATACAACTATAGGTTCGTGTTGTCGACCTTGCTGACGGCGCGCCTCGAGGTCAGTCCACTATATGATTCTTGTTGCTCAAGTTTGCCGGTTATCTGCCAACATTGCAGCGAAAGCAACGCAAGTTATGCAACGTCACTGTGATTATATGCTCAGTGGAGTAAGGGGTCTCTCTCTGTATTGCTTGATATTTTCAGTCACTTGAATTTACGCTTATGATTGTGCACCTTTCACTGGGTGTTCGCTTCCGAGAAGAGAAAGTGGAAGACCAAAAAAATACTTTGTTTTGAATTTTGTTGTAATAGCGGGATTTTGTTTGTGTTCGCGCGATGTGGGCTTTGGATGTAACTATAATGTCGAATCGCTTTTATTGCGGAGAGGTTTAATTGACATACCTCCGCCTAGGATTCCGTTGAGGCTAGTGTTAATTCAGGTAAATATTGGCGGTGCGTGTGTGTGTGTGTGGAAGGGGGATATGTTTGAGGCTAGTGTTAATTCAGATAATTACACAATATTTACCAGAATTTTCACTAGGCTCAACGGGATCCTAGGCGGAGGTGTACTCACCCAGTTGTGCTTTTGGGGGTTGAGCTCTGGCTCTTTGGTCTCGCCTCTCAACTGTCAGTCAACTGATGATTGACTAGGTGTGTGAGAGATTGACCCAGGTGTGTGTGCGCGCGCGTGAGGGGTAAGGGTCTGTATGTCCTGGGGGGGAGGGGGAACTGTCTGTATGGTGTGGGAGAGGGTGAAGGAAGTGTCTATGGATATGAGGATCGCTCCACATGACCGGCTCATGGCGCAGTGACCATGATGGAGGTAAGGGCCGTCTTGGCTCTTGCAACCAGTGTTTGACGACGGCGGGAGTGGATCTGTTCCCCGTCTGTAGTTCCTCCTTCCGGCTCCAGCTGAGTGCGGAGAAAGTTGAGCGCATTCACTTTCCAAATAGGTGTGAGGAGGAAGAGGTGGTTATACCTCATGTACTCAGGTGGAAAACCAAGTTAAAAACTGAGTTGTTGAATTTATGCTTTCGTTGATTGTCACTAGATAAGTGATGGAGGAATTTTATATAATATTGGTGACTACAATGGTTTGTAGACCATCTTAAGTGTTGGGTCTCACACCCGGGGTTCGATACCCAGACAATGCGAGATGTTTGGACGTGTTTCCTGACACCCGATTCCTCCATTCACTTACCAGTGAATCAAAGCATCCGGGAATTGGGCGACTTTTGTGGGTTGCAGCCACAAGAAAGTTAGTATCCCCACCCCGTCCTCGATAATATCTTTGGTGGATTTGATTCCTTTGACATCATCCGTCCTATATTTTTGTGATCTCTGTGTATGTGTACTGATCGATACATATGTAACCCAGTGTAGAAAGCAAATCAAGGTTTTAAGAGCCACAGATCTACATCGACTGAACAAGGGAAGTAAACAGTGAAGGAATTTAATGTGAGAAAAAGTTACCTGAAAGGAACAGGTATAGAGCACAAGTTAACTATAGCCTAACGCAGGACAAAAACTAAATACTTTTTCACCGATGGATTATAAACTCATGGAAATGCTTACCTACTAAAACTATAATTCCAAATCATTACATCACTAAAAAATCTAGGCGGAACAATGGGGGAGACCTTGGACAAGCCGCCAGCTTCCTGACCCTGTCCAGTCGACAATAGGGAGATAGTGGCCCCCGGGTAAATTTAGATAATCAACAAGATATAATGAAGTCTGACATTGAAAGTGACCTTGGAATCACTACTACAAGCACTACTCAACTACTTGGGCTGGACGGTAGAGCGAGGGTCTCGCGTCATGCAGGTCGGCGTTCAATTCCCGACCGTCTAAGTGGTTAGGCAACATTCTTTTCTCCCCCGTCCCATCCCAAATCCTTATCCTGGCCCCTACCAAGAGCTATAAAGTCGTAATGGCTTGGCGCTTTCCCAGCGCCCTCTGATTATCCCGCACATTTGATGGTGCTACATAGCCTTCCCGGTTTGGTGCCTTCTATTGATAATTACTTACTTGGCGCTTTCCCCTGATAAATACAAATTACTACACGCGCTATGTTACCATAGAACCACTTCAGTGGCAACCTTAGTGATGCCGATGCATTTCTAGCCTTTCATGTAACTAAAATACCTGGACGGTGAATGATGAAAATAATGCAGCCTATGCTCCTAAAAGTACAGTACTTACAGAAACAATTTGGTGGAAAGTAACAATATAAGAACATAAGAATAAAGGTAACTGCAGAAGGCCTATTGGCCTATACGAGGCAGCTCCTACAAAACCACCCAATTCCACTCATATACATGTCCAACCCACGCTTGAAACAATCGAGGGACTCCACCACCACGTTACGCGGTAATTGTACGTAACTACATATTACGCAGTAATATGTACCGGCTTGGTGCCTTCTTTTGATAATTTCTTACCAATATGTAGTGAAGAATCACCAGAAAGATGACTTGAATTATTGAATTTAGACAAATTGGGGAATTTTTGTTTTACCGCAATGTAAATATTGAACCTAACCTCTCCTAGCAATCCTAGGCCTAAAGCCGCCAAATGCACATTACCTTAGGCCTAATATACTACATATATGTTCTATAATAGGCCTAGGAATATTTGAGTTTGGTTTATAACTTTATTTTCTCCGAACTACAAAATTAAAAGTACAAACAGTGAATTATTGGTGGTTCATCACTACATAGTGTTACTTTCGACCAAATAGTTAATAAAAAGTACTATTTCAGGAGGATAGGTTAATATTAATTAGAATACATATTGGAAATTGTGGTGCCTACGTCGAAACAATTATGTATCTAATCTAGGAGGGAATGTGGGAGTATGATCACCACATACAAAATACCGTCAGGGGTGAAGAAAGTTGAAGAAGACTTCTTCTTTGCTTAAACCCTAGTTCAAACTACTAGATAAAGAAATACTAATGAAGAAAGATTATCATAATTTTTTTAGGGGGATGAAACACCTTAATTAAGGAGAAAGTGATCGGGTAAAAAATAGAGCAAGTTTTTAAAGGTGAATTTAATGCAATTTATTAAGACAAGACAAACGGCTCAATGTAATTACAATTATATAATTAGGTTATTGCAATTAAGTAATCACAGGCACAGTGTAATTACTTTCTGTGTAAGGTTTTCATCCGTTTATATATTTTGTCAGGATTCAGAATTTATGAATGTATTCCGTAACAACATCGTAGGTGTGTGATAACTGAACTAAAACGCAAGATCATGAGAAATTAGTACACGTGTCAAGTTGTTGTTTTAGATTCAGCAACTCTGAACAACAAGTTGCAAGTAGCACGGGCTATGGTGATCCCGTAGTGAACTTGACATATCTAGTTCCTGTCCTCTTTATATCACCCCGGTACGGAGGTGTGAGGGAGGGAGGACACTCCCTCTCCCGACGCCTCGCCCCCACTCCCGACGCCCCGCCCCCACTCCTGAAGTCCCGCCCACTCCCGACGCCCCGCCCCCACTCCTGAAGTCCCGCCCACTCCCGACGCCCCGCCCCCACTCCCGACGCCCCGCCCCCACTCCCGACGCCCCGCCCCCACTCCCGACGCCCCGCCCCCACTCCTGAAGTCCCGCCCACTCCCGACGCCCCGCCCCCACTCCTGATGTCCCGCCCACTCCCGACGCCCCGCCCCCACACCTGAAGTCCCGCCCACTCCCGACGCCCCGCCCCCACTCCTGAAGTCCCGCCCACTCCTGACGTCCCGCCCCACTCCTGACGTCCCGCCCCACTCCCGACGCCCCGCCCCCACTCCTGAAGTCCCGCCCACTCCTGATGTCCCGCCCACTCCCGACGGCCCGCCCACTCCTGACGCCCGCCTTTGACATGCTCCTCCTTATGTTCTGCCCACTCCGTTGCTCCGCCTAATCAAGACGTTAAGTCCACTCAAAAAGGTTGGCCCAGTCATAGGCTGGCAAGAAATCCGTGTGCATAATATTAAATACAAACCTATAACCTTTTATCAGTCTAAATCACATCAATTTTACGCTGTAATTCGCTATCCTGTTGTTCTATTACAGAAAAAGAAAAATGATTTATTATTATTATTAATTAACATCTTTATTGACAAAAATGAATTACAAGGTCATCTATTAACCCAGTGTTCGAAAACATGGTCATCCCTTAACCCAGTGTTCGAAAACATGGTCATCCCTTAACCCAGTGTTCGAAAACATGGTCATCCCTTAACCCAGTGTTCGAAAACATGGTCATCCCTTAACCCAGTGTTCGAAAACAAGGTCATCCCTTAACCCAGTGTTCGAAAACATGGTCATCCCTTAACCCAGTGTTCGAAAACAAGGTCATCCCTTAACCCAGTGTTCGAAAACAAGGTCATCCCTTAACCCAATGTTCGAAAACAAGGTCATCCCTTAACCCAGTGTTCGAAAACAAGGTCATCCGGCAAGCAATCGTTCGAAGGTTATCCGGTCAGTGGAGTCAGGCCCATTGGCTGGAGGGGGGGGGATGGTGGTAGGGGGCGAAGGGGGAAAGGTGGTAGGGGGGCAAGGGGGGAAAGTGGTGGGGGGCCAAGGGGGGAAAGTGGTGGGGGGCGGAGAGCTGAAGGAGGGGGGGGGGGGGCTGACTGGCCGACGGTGCAAGACCCTGCAACACTTACTAGCCTGCGAGTGTTGCTCTGGTGGTGTTGAGGAGCTGTGTGCGCTCTTTCTCCTTCCTCCCTCTTACTGACTACGGATCTACCGGTGGGAGTTACTGTGAAGTGCTAAGTAGCCGAGTGCTATATGTGTGTGTGTGTTTTAAGTGCGATTGGTTGCCGGATAAAGTGTGGTTTTTGGAGGGGGATTCTGGTTCGACGAGATTAAACTGTTAAACTACATCGTTCGAGTTCGGTGAAGTGTTTAACCATCCCAGGGTAAGTTTTAACTTTTTGTGACAACAAATGTCCTTTTGCCATCTGTTAGTTATTATATATAGTTAAAATATCGGCATAATTTTTGCGTGTGAAAAATCTGTGTTAACTGGATCTAATTTTTTTAAATTATAAGCGGTTAATATTTTAAATAATTTTTTTTTACCATACCAGGCAAAATTAAAAGGTGTTGGAAACCCGTTCACTAAGGTCAAAATTGTAACAATTTGCTTATTAAGAATTTAACTAAATATGATTATTTCCTTTGTCGAGAACTGGAATCCAGTACTTATATAGGCTTATCGAGGTAGGCTAGTCAACTGTATTACAACCCACAACAGTTGTCTAACTCCTGGGTATCTATTTACTGTTATGTGATCAGAGGTTGTTGATGTTGAGAACAGTTCTTGAGTTGAAAGAAGGTTGTTAAACACGCTTTCATTGTTACCATTTCTCAAGACCAGTCTGTTGTTTTAAATTTAGCTAGTCGGAAATAAAAGTTGCAAGTAGCACGGGCTATGGTGAGCCCGTAGTGGACTTGTCAAGACTAGTCACTGATGGACAGTGTTTCCACACATCCTTTTGACACCATAAGCTCTTTGTCCCTCGATGAATCAGACTATGGTCATTTGTACACAAGCCAATTCGACTATACTCAAATTCGACGATTCAGTTAGTTTTCTGTTTGTTGAAACTTAATAGGTTATTAGAAATTAGGTTAGGATGTATTAGCTTTGGTTAAGGTAGGTATTAATAGGGTTAGGTAGGTTTTAACAATGCCTTGCCGGTGTCTAGTTCTACATGCTAATCTCTGTCCTCAACAGATTACTTGAACAACTGGAGAACCACAGAGTTCCACATGGGTGTTGACAGGTCATTATGACCCTAAAACGTCCTTGCAAAACAATTATACTCCATGATGAAATGGCATTATTAAGTGTTCATGATAAATTCGGTTTTGATATTCATAGGCTTGGCCGGGAATTATATAATTGTCAGATATCAATAAGTAAACGAGAAAGCAAAACTAAAAAGCTGATCAAATCACATACACTTGCATGATTAACCATCCTGGGAGATGGGGGATTTTAGTATAAAAAACTATGTAATCCTTTATATAATGTAAGACAGCTAAATAAATGCCCATGTACTCGCCGGGAATTGAATAACAATCAATGTACCCAAAACTAAGACAATATAACAGACTAAAAAAATATATATTTTAAAATCTCAATCTTACGTTATTTGACTTATCATAGGCTTCGCATTCGGTAAACTAACCATCTCGCTTGGATCCAGTAGCCTGTTGGTGTTTACCTGCTTTGTAAACTTGTGAATGTGCGTAATGAGGCGTGTATTGTTTCCTGTGATCATTCGCAGTAAATAAACAAATTGTGGTCATGCATTGAAGACATGGTTTCCCCATTGTCAGCCAGGTAGGTGTGCCCAGAGAACCATACATGTGTCAGCCAGGCAGGTGTGCCCAGAGAACCATACATGTGTCAGCCAGGTAGGGGTGCCCAGAGAACCATACATGTGTCAGCCAGGTAGGGGTGCCCAGAGAACCATACATGTGTCAGCCAGGTAGGGGTGCCCAGAGAACCATACATGTGTCAGCCAGGTAGGTGTGCCCAGAGAACCATGCATGTGTCAGCCAGGTAGGTGTGCCCAGAGAACCATACATGTGTCAGCCAGGTAGGGGTGCCCAGAGAACCATACATGTGTCAGCCAGGTAGGTGTGCCCAGAGAACCATACATGTGTCAGCCAGGCAGGTGTGCCCAGAGAACCATACATGTGTCAGCCAGGCAGGTGTGCCCAGAGAACCATACATGTGTCAGCCAGGTAGGGGTGCCCTGAGAACCATACATGTGTCAGCCAGGTAGGTGTGCCCAGAGAACCATACTTGTGTCAGCCAGGTAGGTGTGCCCAGAGATTTTATGAAATATTTCAAGGAGTTCCTGCAAAAAAATGAGTGGGACACTGCTCTAGTCCAACGACTGGCCTCTTGAATGCAATCCTCGACAGTTACCTAACTATCAATTGTACTTATTTATTGCCAGGTGAATAGGTGCATTAGGTGTCGGATAACCTTGTCCGAACATCTCGCCCTACTGTGGAATCGAACTCTTAGTCAAATCGGTTGTGCAGTCTTGGAAACGTATTCAAATGCCAAGTGAATTAAGTATCCTATTTGATTGTGGATTGCATACACATATTGTATAAAATATGTCTGGAAATTAAATGTCTTGAAAGTCCTTGCGTTTTATAGACAATGTGCTACATGGCGCATTAACACGATGCATATAAAATTACAGATTTTACGAGACCAAATAACAACGCCTGAGCAAAAATGCATTTCATATTCATAAACAATAAGACTTAACAATACTCTCGCCAGCGTAGCAACACCGAACACATTTAGACACCATTGTGTGGGTTCAACTCCCCGTAGCACAAGCGTCAACACCACGGAGCATAGGCTACACGCAGAGTAAATAGTGTTTAGTTCATCCTGTACCTCAGCCTTATCAATTCTGCGCGTAGTAGTGGTGGAAAGGGTTACAGAATTATAACTCGTAATGGATTCAGATACTGAACCCCTTAAAACTCGTTTAACTAAGCGTTCCCGGATCAGCCTGGCTGTGACTTATATAGGCTGAGTGAAAACAAATAGCCTCATGGACTCGACAATCACCAGGTGGAGGAGTAGAACTCTCGAAATTATCAACGGATAAGTTACAGCATTGATGAACTGTAAGTACTGGGTGCGTTAATTTGCTAGGAATCAACATTACACGGTTTGTACCTGGAGTAGTGTTCTGAGAGTTCTGCTACCCCCCCCCCCGAGCCCGGCCTAGGGTCAGGCGTTGACATGTGATAACTTGGTCCAACAGGCTGTTGTTCAGGCTGGCCCGCACGCCTTTATATCAACCTCAACCCGTTTGCTCCGGTACATCTTGCAGGACACCATCTATTTTGTTTCTCGAAATCCACTTTTGTCCCTGTAATGTTTAAAGAGAAATGAAATTAGATTAAATCTGTAATCAGCGTCAAGGTTCTCATCTGATGATAACTTCTGCTCTATAAGGAACTTATTTGTCCCACATTTGGTTTATCGAAGTTCCCCTCGATCGATACAACACTGATCCTTCACAGGATAAAATCCACAACAATTTGCTAAGTTCCGAGTAACTGTTTACTGCTAGATAAATAGGGACATCAGAAATATTGTCAGGAGTCCCTCTCCTACCCTAGGAATCGAACCTGGGTCGGGTTGCGGGCGCACTCTGCATTACAGATAAGGAGAAAGTTCAGAGGGAACGGTGCTAAGGGGAACCACAGAGAAAGCCTCCTGGCATCTCGGTCAAGCCAGGAGTTAGAACACTGTTAACTGAAACTTAACTAAATAGAAAACGAGAAAATATTGAGGCTATACAATAGGTTTGAAACTGCATCCCCTTGGCCTACCAAACATTTATGCAACTTCATGCGAAACCTGTACATCTTTCCTGAATTATTGCGGCTTAGTTGATATCTATTAAGCAGTTAACGAGCTCCAAAGCATTTCGAGGTTGTTTATAATAATAACCGTGGGTTGTGAAGTTTTAAGTTAGTTTAGTATAGTTCATTTATTATGCACCCCCATACCCAACTTGTGGGCGGTAGTGGAAAGGGTTACAGAGGCACATAATGGGCTCAGGGACTGAACTCCACAATTCATTTAGCTCAGCAAGTTACAATCTTGATGAGCTAGTTACAAAATTCAGTACAAGTCACATCATCAATGGGTTCGAGATCAACCTCAAGTACAGTTTCTAAATTAAGCAACTGACATATGTGGAGAGCTAGTGTCACAATTGATATGTTTGTCCTGCACACCGCCCTTTCCTAGCTTGTAAGTAGTTTAATAAATGATTGTGGAAGATGTACAGGTTTCGTAGGTGGCTGTGTAAATCCTTGATGAATCCTGGCCTTAATGGCCAACTGAACCATGATGATGCAGCATAGAACAACCGTTCTCTCGAGCTGTCACAGCGTCACAAAAATGGTGTGCTAAATTGCCCGAACCTAACCTGACTTAACCGATGACCGACGAATAGAAAACGGGATAGACTGTCAATTTTGCAAGTCACCATAATAATAATAATAATAATAATTTATTCACAAGAAAGTACAATAGGTTGGTGAGATTACATAAAATTGGTATTTTTACATTCTTGAAAAGCCACTAACACGCATAGCATTTCAGGCAGGTCCTTAATCTAACATATCAGATAAGATAAACTTTATACGACCATGTATTATAGTACATCATATTTTGACCGTTGGGGATGTCTACATGAATATCCTATGTACTATTCAAGAGGACAGATTGTATAGACAGGTGCTTCTCATTTCAGTGTTAATAGAAAATGTTATGAAAAAGACGAATTATGCATTACCGAAGGCTAACTTAAATAATTTCTTTTGTATCACACATGGTTGTAAACTTTTACGGTGCTAAGAAGCATTTATTATAAATTATATTCATTTTCTGGTGACCTCCATGGACAGATCAGTTTTCAGTTTTAGTGATCTGATCACCATTAGAGATCTGTTGTACTATATATAGTGTAGTGGGTTATTGTGCACTTAACCACAGGTGATGGTAGTACGTTTTTGTTAGGAGTGAGCAGTGTAGCGGTTAGCGTATACCAGATCCCTGTCCTCGTACTCCAGCTGGTTTTCCTTATATCCCAATTAATTGTCCTAATATTCCAGCTCCTTGTCCTCATATTCCAGCTCCTTGTCCTCATATCCCAGCTCCTTGTCCTCATATCCCAGCTCCTTGTCCTCATATTCCAGTTCCTTGTCCTCATATCCCAGCTCCTTGTCCTCATATCCCAGCTCCTTGTCCTCATATCCCAGCTCCTTGTCCTCATATCCCTTCCAAGTGCTATATAGGCAATCTGGCAAGACGCTTTCTTCTCATGAACACCTTATCTCTTCCATTTCCCCGTTG